TTATTTGATGCTAAAGATGCCATTAAATTAGAATTCATGGTCTCTGCGTGATAATCTAAAACATTAGATTTCATTTGTATAATAAGGACTAAGTAATTGAAAAGCTATTTTTTCTTGATCATTAACAACGTGCCTCTTTTATCAACAATCTAGTTATTTAGCGAGTTGGGGTATTAATTTTCAAATGGTAAATCTATAATCTTTCAAATGATTATGATAATGGATCATTTGCTTCTTTATTATTCGGATTTCTTGTATCTACATACATACGTAATATGTAAATTTATCTTAATCCTGTTTTACACCTGGTGAGAATTTATGGCTGGTAATGCCAAAGCATCAAGCACTAAAGAGTTAGAGAGTGATTTTTTCAGTTTCATAAATAACCTTGAAATATTCCCTGCGCGTAACTTTGGCCTTCATAGACGGCTGGTTCGATACACGGGCACTGACTTAGTAAACAGTTGTATACAGCAGATATCCTTTCCAAGGGCACTCCCTGCGGGCGGTTTATTGGTGGTTCGTACCTACCGAACATAATTTTAACTTAAAACATGAATATAGCTATCCCGACAACTCTTACTTTATGGTAGTAATTACTGGTTCTGCCTACAAATAGCCAATATCCAATCTAAAGCCAGTTTGTTTACCTTTAGTTCGTGCTGCACCACGGCTTGCGGTTGCTAAGATGTGTATAAAGTGAAAATACTTTAATTACTATAAATATTTATCTTTATAGTGCTTTTTGAGTTTGAATGTGTTCGTGATTATTTAGTAAGTTATTTCGTTTATTGGCTGACATCCGGCTCCGCGTCACTATGACATTTTCCGGATTATATCGCGTTACGCTGCGTGCTAACGGTTGTTACTTACTTTTTAATGGCAATACAACACACTTGGTAATGAGGTGTTAAATTATAAAACAGTGAAAGTATAGGTTTCATTACTTTTTAAATATCTGTAATAGTCACATAACCCTATTACAAAAACTTTTTAGAATTTCAGCCACCGTTACCAGTAGAGTGACGTAAATCTGAGTAAATGGGTGTTAATTATCTATAAATTCTGTTAATATTTATTATGAAGTAAGATCTTAAGCTGGTTTATCTCTAAAGAGCTAGTCATGATGACAGTTTGTACACAAAAAGCCACAATAATGTTGCAACGGAGGAGACTACGTAATAACTTAACACTCTCTGATATAAAACAGTTGAGAAATTTGAATGATTTATTGGATTAAATACATAACAGAATGTTTTCATAGTATGATTTATTGTTTACAAACGCAGGAAGCCAAATTACTACTTTACAGCTGTGCTACGTTTAGGAGTTGCGTAGGTGGTCGAGGTTAGCGTGTGAAAACAATACAGGATTGTGTAACCAATATGTTCAATTTAATTATCACTCTACTGGCTTAAAATAATACTAACTTTGCCGATATGCTTTCTTTTCGTCATAAGCACCTGTTTCCTCTTTATGTAATATAGCATCATATTGAAATTTTTTGTAGATAAATGTTATAGATGGCACTCAGTAGATATAATGCTTACAATATACTTATTTTAATTTTAGATAGTGTGAAGGAGATGAAATGCTAGTAGTTTGCGCCAGATGTTAGGTTGAATCTGTTATGTTCTCATATTTCGCGGACATTATATTACATAAGCAGTATCCAACAAATAATTTGTACAAAATAAGATGATGTTACACCTATCTAATTAATGATTTACTTTGTTTAAATAAACGTAAAATGTATAAACTGTGTCCTATCTGACTAGATATATTGCGCAGATAACATCGTCTACAGGAATTTTCTTTGTAATTTCATTGTTCAGTTTGATTTTCAATTATTTATTTTTTTGTTATTTGTTGGCACCTGTCTGATAAAAACTTGCAGCCGAAACGATAACGGCTATCTATAAGTGGCTAACGTTCTTCGTTCTTGCTCAGTTTCCTTCCACAATTTCGACAGAAAATAAATTCAAACTAATTGCAATTGTGTAAATGAATGTTTTTTTTTATTATATTAATTGGCAAAAATACATGCACCAATTGTCTGTGGATGTGTGCTGTACTTAATATAATAGATGGGTTTATTTGATTTATATTTGTATTTCTTTATTCAAACGTTTTTGTATGACTTTCAAAAACTTGAAGTTGTAAAAATAATATCTTTCCCGCTTGGTTAAAATGAATAGGTCAATAAACGTATCTGCCAACTCTTTGAATGTTTAATTATCATATATTATTTTAATAATCACTAATACTTCTATATCTAAAACACCAGGAAGAGGAATAATAAAAGTTATGAATACTAAATTTTACCGTCAGTTAATAAAACAGCGCATCGTTTGAACTCAGGATTAGTGCAATTTCTTCATACTTTAGTATTGTGATTAATGTCAGGTTCTTATCTCTATTATACATTTATAAACATTGTATCTTGAATAAAAATATAACGATGTAGCTCTATCGGATTATAAAACGATACATATAGGTACTAAACAATGTTTTAACTAATCATGTGACTTCGGTGCGATTAAAAGAAGGCGTACTTATGTACAAATCTATACTAATATTATAATGTAAAATTTGTAAGTTTGTATGTAGAGGGTAATCTTTGGAACCGCTGGTCGGATTGCCAAAATTCTTTCACTGATAGATAGCTATAATGTTCCTGAGTGCTATAGGCTATAAAACATATGCTACGCTATGATTAAATGGAGCCGAGCAGCGGGTGAAACCACGCAAGAGTAGTGTATTTATAAAGAAGTAGGGAACCAATCTTTTATTGATCACCAATATCAAATTCATTGTAAAATGTCATAGTCAAATTTCTTGATGGTCTTCATTTGTTTTTATGTGCAACACTCTTGAGCTAACAAGAATGTATAAATCACTTCCTGATCGCAATTTTCTTTTGAAAACATTTTATATGTTTTATTATGACTAACTTTAATGAATTACTGTATTGTTTTGTTGATGGATGAGTATTACGTGTAGATAGATATTATAAGCGGATTCATACGTCAATCATCAACTTGTGGTGTACTACTATTAAGAGCAGATGTTCCTTATAGTTTCTTTTATGAGTCAGTTTGTAATTGGCATTGATGTAGCCTGAAAATATACTCCTTTAAGCAGGCAGATGGTTTATGTAATCGTATTTCAAAAACTGCTTTATGTTAAAAGAATATCTTTATTCGTTAAAACATGTTTACGTTGTATACATTATAACATATAATAACTGCGTAAATTCTATTGTTATCCTCGCCACGGTCACAGTAGTGAACTTTGTCCTCTGTAGAATTTTAATTTAGTTTTTCTACATACAAAAAGAGATGGCCATAAACAATTTCCACGCTTCATGCATGAAAACCTTTTCTTTAAAATATTCTTTTGGGCAAATAGAAATCAAGTTCTGTACTACCTAAGTAACAAAGCCATATTTTCAAAGAGAAAACCAGCTCCGTGCGTTGTATGTATATGTATGCCAGGCCTATGGAATACAAACAAACGCCCAATAAACTCTAGTGTTCTATTTTAGTCCAAGTCGTTATGGCGAATGAATGTGTTTGTTGTAGCACTAATGTATTTAATATACTGCTAGTGAAATAAAGCGTGACTTTCAGAATAACCAGAATTGAATTAAAAACCTTACGGAATAATAAAGCTGGCAAGTGTATGAACTCATAAAGATAACTATACAGTTTCCGTTTGTCTAAAGTGCCTGAAATGAGGCCGTGGCGTGAGATAACGAGCAGGAACGAGAGTTGAAACGTTTTAAAAAGTCGAGCTGGAGGCACGCTGCTGCAGAAAAATCATCATGTAGTGCTCTGTTATTTCCCCGGGAAGGAAGTGACGCCTCCGCACTCGGGGCTCTTATTAACCTGAGTTCACGGGATTCAGGGGATCGCAATCAAGCCTCAGACGGATTTGCGTCGTAAACCAGGTCACAAACAATAGTGACTTACTTCTGCTTTATGCCAGCATTTTTGTCCTATACTAGTTAGAAGGTTACTAGAGTAAAGTAGAGTAGCAATTTTCTATTAAAAATAAAGACGCTGGCTATATAGGATTTTCAAATATCGATATTAGAAAAAAAAGCTTTCTACTTGGCTTAGAAAACTTTTCCTTTCTTGAAACTATAAACGAAATTGCGAAATATATATCACTGTCCTTATTGCTATTGCTGTCTGCAAAAGTTACACAAACCCGTACACCGAAACCCGGAACGAGTACCTGTACGTCGCGTCATACAATGTAATGTTTCTTCCGCACTGGAATCGACCCGCGCCATGTAATGAGCTCAATTGTCGTAGCCAATTGGTCGACTACTGTGTCTACGTCAAACGTCTATACATCATTCATAGATGCCATCTCGTAATGTAGGCAGTATTTACCAATCGCAATGTTTGTCGCTGTTGTAAGTGCGGTCAGTTTCTCAACTAGAAATAAAAGAATGTTATGCCACGCATAAATTAAAAGAGTTTTGATCTTTGAACTCATTAATTACATAGACACTCGAGCAGACAAAGCTAAGCACATACATCCGTGTATTACCTAGGTATTAAGCAATTTCACATTTAAATTTGGTCGTCGCTAACAGTTTTTATCAAATTGCACTTATGGTTACATTCCTGTATTAGTATGCTCAACGTGTTTAACTTGAATATGATGATATCATCTAGTGATTCATGAGATTTTTATAGTAGACCCAAGAATGTTCTTGACTGTTGGGTAATTATCTCGCACCACAACATGCATAATAGAAATAAAAACTCAAGTCAGATATTTAATAATTAATTGACTTAAAGGTATTCAGAATTCAATTGAGGTGGTTCTCTATCAGATATATTTGGGATTCATAGGTTATTTGCTCTACGACTTTGTTTAAGTCTTATTATTAGCTACGTGGAGTTGTCGGTTAACTGGCAATGAACACATGGTGGATAGGAGTGGTGATAATAGTAGTATAAGTTGTGTATGTTTGTTTGCAGTGTTATCGGCGAGCGCATTGAGCGCGGGTGGCGGCGTGGGTGCGGTCCCCACGCTGGTCTCACAGTCTGGTCTTGGTGTGGAGGTGGACATGGTGCAGGAAGGCGGCGGTGCGGCAGGCGATGGTCTCATCGCGCCGCGCCGCGTGCCCAACCCTTGTTTGGAGAGCCCACAGCGTATGGACTTACACAGGGAGCTGCTCTTCAATCAAAGGATGTAAGTGATATTTTTATAGATAACGCCTATCGTGTATGCATACTTATTACATTAAAATTATAGATTTATCAGGTTTATAAAAGACAGTTCTTCATAGGTTAACCACTCTAGATTTGTTTTTAATGTAGTAACAACGTGAAATGTACCTATTTTGTTTTTACGTTATGTTTCGAGCGCATTAGGTTATTACCTAAACCCATAATTACTTGTAGTTTTTAGGCAATTCATTACTCTATGTTTTACATGAATGTGTTGACAAAACTCATAAAATACAACAACAATTTCGATACGTAGGCCTATTTGTTATATCCGTTCCTTTACGTAAACGTTTTGTGACTTCTCGAAAATGTTTACATCGGAACTGAGTCAGATGTATTTGGAAATTCCAAGAATTTTGACACGCGAGCCATTGTCATTATAGGTATTTTAAATCAACCCACATATATTTTAAAAGGTTTGATTAAGTTTGGCCCAGTTTTGAGAAGTCCCGTGCATTCTTTAAAGCCACTTTTATCTAGCCTTTGTCCGTTTTTACAATGGAGTACGCTCTCAAAACCACTTTGTGGGGACGACAAGAGACTTGACTTGAAAGCCTTTTACTGCCCGTGGCAAATGTCAGCTAAAACTTACTTTTTTCCTTCTTATTATTTTAATAAACAAAGTTCAAGATTTTTCCAGAAAAACCGCAGCGAAGTGTTTAAAATTGAATAACAAATTCTTATGACCTATCAGTTAACTTTTTATCTTATCTTGCCATTATATTGACCATAGAAAGCATGTTAATTCGTAAAATAACATTGGCTAAGGTGCGGCGATTATGGTTCTATGATAAGCTATCTTGAATAGAAAAAGACATTCCACTAGGTACAGGTGCGATAATACTTACAATTAAAAAAGTACTTATGTAGGTATGGAATAATTTTAATGATATTAGAATACAAAGCGCAAACGCTTAGCTTCAATCATTCAAAGACGGGGAGTGTGCGAGTTCCAGCAAGTTTAGTTTTTGCCAATGCTATGTTTGGTTCGTCTCCAGCGCACAGGTGCACGCATCCTGTCCCGAGTGTTATGCACCCGCTATAATTATTGAACATCTGTTGCCCGAACCGCGCCGATCGCATTGTACGCTCGTACCGTCTTTGTGAAACCAACAAATGTTGAAGTAAAGGCATTATATTGAATACAGAATAGCTTCACAGTCGCTGAGACCTGTTGATTCAGTCCATTTCCCCGGCAATGTGATTTCGAGGCAAACTCGTCCTGTTATTTCCGTGCACGGCAGCCAATGCCGCTTGACGGAAGGAAGCAATTCCCAGCGTTCTAACGGGAATTCTATGCCTTTATAACTATGAACACAATGTACAAATATAATAAACGTTCACATACGACATTGATATATTGAAAGAAATAGCAAAAATCTAGTACGTGAAAATAAGGTAAATTGTGTTTCGCGATTGCAATCCAATGTAATTTGTTACGCATAATACCAACACGTATTGAGAAATTGTTTAACGATATCGTTTCAAAAAATGCAGTAAACATGATATTAGCAAATTGATATAAATCTAAATTAATTGTTTTATGATAGTAAGTGAGCCAGTCTCTTTTTATCTCTAAATATGTATTTCCTAAGACGGGAAACACACATGCAATAAATGTATAAAGTACCTTTCTTTAATATAATTTAAAAAAAGAAATCTCTTTGGTTTTTGTTAATGGAACTTTGCCTGTAAATATAGTTTTCCTAGAAAGAGGCGAGAGTGCAAGATGATGGCAATATCCTGACGACGGCAGTAATTAGTTGAGATTAAATAACGCTGACGATCTCAAGGCGTAATCTCGGCAATTTAGTGTAAATCTCTCGGATCGTTAGTAAATTAATTGAAAATGCTCTAAATAACTCTAAGATTGCAAACGTGTTTACATTTTGCGCATACTTTTAAGTAATGAATATACATACATGTGTTGAAATTTATTTCGAAATATTATCTTCATTATCGCTGATAGAATACTACGATAGCTGATGTACAAAAAAGGTTTAGTATATTAACATGATAACTGCAGTTAAGATAGGAATGTACTGAGAAACATTACACCCGTTCTGTTTCAACACAGATGTGTAAAACAAACAAGACATTGCAGTAGTTTGTGACGTCATACGTACAAAATAGTCCACACATGCAGGTATTGTGCGTGGGAATGCCGCTAGGGAACTGTCTCCACATGAACAGAGAAGCAATTCAGTCATTTTTTACTCCTTCTATTATTCTACTCGATTGCAACTGAATTTGAGAATTTCTGTTGAAATTAATTGCATTCAAGGATATTTCAACACCGTTTGTTTCTCGGCAATATAAATTGCAATATTTTTCAACATTTATGTATAGGATTATAAATTACGTTATTTAATCGTTTTTGTAAATTAGTGCGCATTTTCGAAATAAGACATTTACCTCTAGTTCTTAGTAGAGTGCTAGAGTTTCAGACATTATCTACCTACGCATTTTTCGTTGATTATGAGGAAACAATGTTAATTAAATGTTATCGTTTTTCAGCGTAAATTAGATATTATTACAAACATTGGTTGTACATATAATAGAGATATGATATAATCCCAACTATTGTAAAAGCCCAGTTCTTATCGCTAAGTCTACGTAGTGCGAGTAATATATGCGTATCATCAATGATTTTCGCTCGCTGTATACATAACCATATATGGTAATGAATTGTGCTACGATTTTGTCATCCGCGATAAGATTAAGCTGATATCTAATATGTTACACTATCTTATCGTGCAACATAACGTTACGACTGGTTCTTGGTAGGTAGGCAACGGCTATCATTCCTTTAAGCTAAGCTAGTATCTAGAAAAATAATTCTCTAACTAATGCCATTATGTAATAGTTTACTTAATGTTTTTTTTTTACTTTTCAGAGGTAAAAACGTCCTCAACCAAAAAAGTGAACTAGAAAGGGCTCTGTCGAAACACAAAGAGAAGCAAATCATGAATCAAGTGAAGGAACACAGGGAGACGCCAGGTAAATGTTATTACACAAAAAGCTATTTCTTTTATTATGTTCAACGAAACATGTTCCTTGTAATAAAGAAATTCGATACGTCACGCACTAAACTTAAAAAAAAAACAGTACAATGACCTTCGTCGCCGTCAACAACGCGATGTTTCGCGTCGAGGTTACTCATGTTATCATAATCAGTCACAAAATTATGATTCAGATATAAAAAAATATTGATTAATTAAAAAATACTGCGAATTCTACACTGTTTACAAGAGCTGGTTTCTAGTTTATAATAAAAATTTCTTTATAAGTCACGCGACTGTAGTACTTAGTTATTAGCCTACTTAATAACAATGGTTCAAAGCTACCGGACCTTTGTGATAAGCATGGTTTATCAACCACATCCTGCCAATGTTTTCTAAAATAACCAGTAGGATGAATTTACTACGACAAACACGCCGAAAAGAATCTAACATACGAGGAGGCTACGTTTTAAAGGTTGTATTATAATGTAGACATCGGTGTCAGTCGGTCAGGACACAAAGGCGTAGTTTTACTATTACATCAGAACATTATCACGTATTTGATATAACATTAGGTAACTGAATCATTAAACTGATCGGCGAGCACGAACCGCATCCGGCGGCGACGGTGCCGTATGCTTGCGTTACGTGTCTTGGTCATTTTAATCAAATCTTACTACCTGCCTTTAAGATTAATGGCTACTTCTTTACCACCGATCATGTGGTTGGAACAAAAAAAGCAATATACCTAAGTGGTATTTGAAGCTGGGTCCACTTTTACTCTCAAAATATTCGTTGAGGTTAAACCGGAATTCCTCAAAACTCGTATGGCGTTTGGTGTTTTTTGCTCGCATATTTGGACGCGTCCTCTTTATCCGGTGCAGTTCGATATGAGTCGCAGGTGCACTCAGCGGCCGTTCACCCCGAAGGCCAATAATTGTGGACACATTCCTTGTAAACATTCAATGCAAGTACATTCCACATAACATGTAATGCACAAAATGCAGGTATTACGGGTACTTGTGCGAATTTCCTCTAATTGGTTTGCGGATGTCGATGACCAAGGTTGGATGAAAGTGAAACTGCATCTGACTGTTTCCCGTTTGTCCGATTGGTCAAGCAGTGGAAGACATTACTGCGATAGATAAAGCTAGCCAGAGTCGCTAGTTTTGCGGTTTCCTTATAGCATCATTAAGTGTTTATGTTTTATTTAATTAAACGTGTCATTAAACGATTTACTTATGTATAGGTAGTAAACTCGGAAATTGCTATAGCGTTTGCGAAATAGCGCAATACTCGCAGAGTAAACGAACTCGGTTAGTCTTTGTTCACATTCGAACATTTGATTCGATAATTTATTTTTAATAATCGTGTCTTTATATTTTTAATTTAATTATAGAGATAATGAAAACCACAGGCATTTCTTATAATCAGCACCTAATGTTATATCATCGTATCTATTTACATAGTTTCGTATTAATTATATTTTAATAGATTTTACTAATGCTCTTGTTTTAGATTTTCAACAATTCGTTTTTCTATTTATTTTTTACTGATATATAATGCGAGATACTTAAAAAATCGGTAGGTTGGGGTTCCCTATTCAACCATAAGAGGCAAATATGTATAACAATTATAATATGAAACCAGAAAGTCGATATTATATCTACAAGTGTAGGCAATATGTGTGCCATTTGCTTCCAATTTTCCTGTTAACTGTAACTAGCCTTTACTTATCCTCGTTGAAACTACTAGAAACGAACGGTCCACCTTCACTTGCGTTTTGCACAATGTAAACACGTTACCTAATCGAGATATCCTTCAGTGTCCTTAATGTCCCTTATACTAACAATATGCTTAAAGGTAGACGATTACGTCGATCAAATGCGTATTTAGTTTACAATAATATAGTACCTATATTTTCGATGTAAATACCCTGTACTAAATCAATTTATTTGTATGTAAAGGTATACTTAGTATAAACAACGCATTTAGTCTGAAACTTACATTAGATATTCAGTATGAAATTTAGTCTATGATTATATTACTGACTACCTATTGTCCTGCGGTTTGACCCTCTGCTCCGCCCTTACATATCATAGCGTGATGTTTTTTAGTCTATAGCCTTCCTCGATAAATGCACTAACAAACACAAAGAGAATTATTTAATTTGAATTAGTAGTTCTAGAGATAAGTGCGTTCAAAAAAACAAACTCTCCAGCTTTCCCATTTCATTTAGATTAAAGTTGTCTAAAGGGCCTCTGCGCACTTGGCTCCGGCCCCTCGTACGCCTCCCAAATGACCGGGACCCTGTGGTCCCGTGATTGGTAAAGACATACTATGTAATAATAATAGTAAGGATATAAATGTTAGCAACTGACAATTCCTTATTTACGTTACAGAGCTCGAGCGTGCGATAGCAGAGCGAGCTCGTCGACTGGAGCAAGCGGAACAAAGTACGGAGGAACCAGAGACTGGTGCCAACCCTACGTTGCAGCAAATACGAGCCCGTCTGCGACATGCAGCGCCCTCTGCGCCAGCGGCCTCCGCCCACTGAACTAACCCAGCCTTACAAACATCTAAATAGTAATAGGATTGCCAAAAAACACGGTTTGAGAAACTTTTACCCTTCCCAACTTTTCTGTCTTTGCCTAAGCCATGAAGCTCTAAAGGGAAAGGCAAAAATGTTTGACTTGTATTCTTCGAACAGGCTGTAAATTCAAGATACCTACGTTTAACTTGGTAGCTTAATTAAATTCTAGGAACAGAAATACTCCACACTGTTTCAACCAAAATAAAATCAAAATTGTATGTACAACCGAATATGAGTAAGCGGCCAAGGTTATGTGTAATAAATTGCATCTTGCGATTCATAAAAGACGGCCTGCTTCGAGGACAGTCCTATTGTTCTTTGGATCGTATAGTAGTCCCCGTAGCAATTCACCTGCCAACTTCCATTATGAATATTTATGTCTCATCCGTTCTCTTACAATCAAAAGTTGTAGTGATAGGACATTAACAACCCGACCTATAAGATCGGGAGATTTCGTATCACTTTATTGATCCGTACCCCTATAGAATATATTTAAATAGATGTTTAACAACCATCGTTGATACTAGTGAATAGAGGCTATATTCTCAAAAGCATTTGTTACAATTTAATCAACTGTTACTATATTTCACTTGACTCATTAAATACTAGATTCAGAAAACGATGTTTAAAAATATAATATCAGTCGCACACCGATGTTGTCTGTGATTAGCGCCATCTTTGTGTAGTAGTAGGTAACTCTTACTAACTGTATCACACTAACTCAGGGTGTTGGTAGGCGTTGATGAACTCGACTGGGGTCCAAATGGACTGTATTCAGGGGTCAAGGGGATTTAAAAGGGTTAAAATATTGTAAAAAGATGGGATTGAAGTTATGGAAGTGCACTGTAATTATAAGCATTGAGCGAGTGTTGCTAATGGTGTGAGTGATACGCTTTGATTGCCAAAGCTTGTTTGATTATAATCGGTAACTTTATGAAATAAGACGAACAGCTATGCTTTAATCTTTTTTTCAATGAAAAAGGTCACTTAAAGTGTCACAATATTTAAAATGGTAGCGATTTATTTGTTATTATTTAGTAGTTTATATAACGGGTGTGGAGACACTTCTAACAGCCTCGATAATTGATTCTTTGGAACTGCAATTGATTATGTTTATTTATGCGTGCAAATATTTAATTTCAGTAATACGTAATATCGAACAACTATATGACTGAGGATTCGACTGCGTGTGTTGTAATAATTATGATAAGAGGTAATGTCGACTTCAAACAAGAGAATACAAATATTTTTCTAAACTTTTTGACGTCACAAATCTTAACAATTCGTAGCGTTCATTCGTAAGCATTTACTGTTCTTGTTGTACTCTTAACTTATCTCTCGCTGTACGTTTTAGTGATAAAATAAATGTCAAAGTAATAATTGTAATAACTATTTTATGACATTAATTATTATATGTATTAGAGAGTAGATAGATGTTTGCAATTTACAGATGTACGGTTTAGAAATATTAAAGTATAAACATATTTTATTGTCAGAGTAGAGATATGAGATGTAGTGTGGATCCTAAATAGATATTACCCAAACATAATATTAAAGTTGAAATATATTAACCTACAATATCTACAAGCCTAATCAGTAATTATAATGAATTTAACAAATAGCTTTATGGGCACTTAATGTTATAAAAATATATAATTTTCTACAGATCCTTGCACTTAGGCCTTTCTTAATATGACTCCAATTAATAGTTGACCAGTGTATTAGAATTTGAAGTGTTCATAAAAGTGATAGAAAAGTATTTTTATATATTTGTGATGCCTGGAGGTTGTCAACAGGTTTTCAAAGTTTAATCGATATTCGTAGTAGCCCCGATGACACAAGAAAATATTCACTACACGTAGATATTAAACGATATAACGGGTAACGTCTATTACGTTGCATGTATAATAGAATTATTTATAATGCTTGTCTAATATTGATTTAGTCGTCACATACCTACCGCAGATATATTTGATTAAAGCTTGCTACTTATACCTTTAATGAATCTCTTATTAATTGTTCGCACCTTTATTTGCAATTGTCATCTGAAGTTCTATTTCATTTAGCCTTATTATGTAACGTATTATGTTCTCTAGTGTGCCTAATTATATAACTTGTTATTTACTTTCAGAGTATTAATTATTTATCGTTATTACCTAAGTTAGATTGTAATAGGATGACGATTCTCACAAAGATACCAAAATTACAAAAAAAAAGTTCTTGTAGTTAACTATCATTCCACTTGTTATTCTTTCACTTGCTATGATTTCCTTTGTCGAAATGTTTTCATTTTCTGTTAAGGTTATTGTTAAGTTATTGTAATTTAGTACAAAATGGCTCCTTCATGATATGAAGGCCAGTTAGGCTTCGGAAGCTGCATCGTGGCCATCTTAAGTGCGACATTATTGACGAAAGTAGTGTTAAGTCTCTTTGTATTGATAGTATGACATGGAACCTGTATGAAAATTATTTGCATAGTCAAATAAAAATGTTTTAGACTAGTTACTGTTTCATTTTTTTATAAACCCTATGAAATATCTATCAGTTAAGGATTTTAAATTGTTGCATGAGTACTTTTCTTTAAGTCAACCATCACAAAGCATGTAAATTAAGGGTTAATTTACTATCGCTGTTTTTTGAGTCTTGCTCATAGACAATGTTGATAAAGTCAAAGTAGAATGAAATCTAAAGGACAACATGGGGCACGAGGAGGTCCTGTTTTAGTATTCATTAGACATTTCAGTCACTGAGAACTATTATGCTTATGCTATCACAATAGATAACAACCAAGGGTTTATTTTGAATACTGCTCTCGTTAATAGCTGGTCATTCACATTCGCTAGTGTGTTATGAAAAATTAAATAAATAAAATAATTAATACGTTTAAACTATGAGAAAACTTAACCATAGCTCGCGTTGTCGAAAACAACATTACTCATTAAAAACTAGGTACTTACAGCCCATGCTCGACGTAGCGCATAGTTCGAACCGCGTAGCAGCGTTTACTTGCTATTAATCTAGTATGTGAGCCACCACCAGACAATCGACTGCTCGGTCTTGTACTATTAAATAAAAAAACCTCGTGCTCATAAATGAAAGGGAATTCAAGATATCATATAAGAAACTAATCGAACCATTCATAAAAAAATTACTACTTAGTATAGTGAGAAAACGTTGTTGCGTACTACGAACTACGCACTACGGACTACGCGCTAGATACTAAACGCTACGTACAACGCGCTACAAACCACGCTCCATGAACTATACGTTTCGGTTTTTTTAATATATTGGATTACTCAATCACTTTTATTGCACTTAGGCCTGTTCTTAAGATCTGATTGCTAAATTTTACATGAAAATATATTTATAGTAACTATATTTTTTTCAATTCAATTAAGTCCAAGACTGTGTTAAAGAGAACATTTTGTGAGTGAAATTGCAAGAAAAGCTAGTATTTAAGTTATATTTCCCGATAAGTCGGTAGCGTGCAATACTTTTTGACATTAGTTAATTGTGTTAGCGAACAAAACTTTACATAATTTACGTCATTATGCAGTTATTGGCCGTTATAAAGAGGTAATTACATTCGCATACGATTGTTGAGCACTTAGAAAAAAAAAGAAAACACTTTTTCTTTAATTTTTTTAATTACCTTTGTATTATAAATATGATTAAATTTAATTATATTACACTAAAACATTAATAAGTATTCGGTGGAAACGTCCTTAGCAAAAAATATTATTCTGTCGCTATAATAGTTATCAAACGAATGGGCAATAAAACTGTCAAGCGTTAGTCCAAATATGGTTGTATGCATGTAATTATCAAATATATAGGTTGATAAGCTTCTAAAATCATTCGGTAAACCCACTACAGCTGTAGCAGCCTAGCAAGTAACTTCTACATAGGGACTTTTTTAGGTGTAAAGTATCTACCTATTTTAAACATTTGCTTAGATAGAGATATGCCAAATGCTTAAGAATATTAAGCAATTTATATCTAAGAAGGTGCTTAGTACCACAAATTTTGTGGACGTTTCTAAAACTTGTGTAGAAAATTTAACATTCTGATTTCTACGAACTAATTCCATAGAAATCGAAGGCTTCACTGACGCTTTGAGAATATCAATATTGTAAGATCTCTACGTAATGGGTACTTTACTGTACATTGACATTACCAATACCTGTTCCATGGTGTAGTGTCGAATTTCGATAGTAATGTACAATTAGAATAATGTAAAATTAGGTATGTGTTAAAATTCCCGACACCTTCATTTTCATAATTCAATAATTAAAATGATGGATTAACTAAGTAGTTATTACTGGCGTGAGGGATACACATTTTCATAAATATCTAATCCTTATTGTACCAAAACCTATGTGTATGGAGCTTTAAAAAAATTATGTTACCTTCTATGACGGAAGACGAGTTTTCAAATGACACGAGAAGCCAATTACCTGCGTTGCATTAATATCATCAGTTATTATTGAATGCAGTGACTGTATTATTAACGAATAATTAGTTGGGGAAATTTGTCGAGTTGTTGAAGCGTAAAACGCTTTCGTTTTCTTAGGACACGGGAGACACGTCCAACGGCGGTGCAGCGTGGCGGTGGCGGTCAGCGGCGGAGCACCCCGATGGGTACGCGGCTTCATGATCGTGCCGTAACGTGCCCTCGTTCAGTCGACAATCGAACACCTTTCGTGGCTCACGTTCTCGTACAATGTAAATAGTGCGTATCACGTTGTTACCTGAAACAGTGATTAATTCAATATGTTTAACAAGAAACTTTACTTTGCGTTATTAACATTATTAGTTGTTAGTAATGTAGTCTGCGGGAAGAAATCTAGGAAGAACAAACGGCCTAAGGATCAAGAGGATTATACTACCATACAACCGAATGTTGTTGCGTATTCAACATTCGGGGTTAACGATGTTGTTTCCTACGATGGCTTCATTCCAACCTCACCGGACTACGCCACTTTCCTGAGCGGGGTAAATCAAGAATCTACTACAAGATTATACGCTCCTGCATTCCCAAGTTCCATGGACACAACAGGATTTGGTGGAAATTATGGCGCTCAGGCGTTTGAAGGTCAGTCCTTCGGTGTGAACGAGGTCAACATGGGCCAACCTGGTGGTATGTTACAATATTCCTCAAATTCAATGAACTTCTTCAACAATCCTAATTTTGGTACTACTGCTGAGCAAAATAACAATAATGATTCTGAAGGCGCTAGTGGTCACAATCACAATGCAGAAGAAACAGATTCACCAGTTTACGGTACTAAAATAAATTCTCGTCAAAAGTACAGGACTAATAACACCAGCTTTAATAGTTATAGTAATGGTTACTCTAACTTATCCGACAACAAATATTTACATTTTCCCGAGCCAGAGCAAACCAATGAAAATAAACCCGCATTTAGTGAATCTGGTGGCAGTTACCAAAATACCAATAATTTTGTCCATAATTATGAACCGCAAGAAAATGAAGACTCGGGTAAAAGGCCGTCTTTACTCAATTTTCCTAAAGTAGTGGATTTTACGAAATTAAATTATCCAACAGAATTAGATTCTAGCAAGTTTTTATCAGAGTTCAACCAACCACAGAACGAACAAAATTCCATGAAAAACGCACAAATAGAAAATACGTTTACTCATACTTTCAATAGTAATACAAATAAGAACACCAACAACAATCAATTCATGGACTCTACACCTAAATTAGTGGATCATTACAATATGAAAAATACCGAAGAACCAAATGACAAGTCCATAATAAAATCCAATAATTACTTCGAACAAGATTTAACTTACAATCATGTCAACACAAGACACAAAAACAACGCGGCTAGTAACAAGCCACTAGAACAGAAAAAGAAAATTAAGAATAAGCCATGGTCTTCAGGGAATTACAGTAACGATTTCGCAAGCTGGAAAGACTCTTCATTAAAGAGCTACGGATATTCCACGAATTATAGTAACATGAACTTTAAATATGATGTCAGTGAACCTAAAAAACCTTTTAATCCTGATGAATTAGTACCAGCGAGTAGCAATGTAGATTTAACAAATTATCAATATCCAGATTCAGAATATTCAAATTTCAAAAAAATGCCTGAATTCAATGAAGATGATGAATACAATAGCGTGTCATTTAAGGAGAAATCTAAGCCAAACGATTATTTGAACCGATTCAAGAATTCAATCAGTACTATCCCAACAACCACATCTTATTGGGGTAATGTTTATCCATCCTTTAAAGATTATGCCAAGAAACCTCATTACAGTGAAATAGGTACCGATGTTGTTAACATTCCTAAAAGACCGCCAAAAATTAACTACCCGAAACAATCAGAGAGCAAATTACCCGATTGGCCGTATACTCAAATTAATAGACCTCGTAAAATAAACAAACCAACTAATGATTGGACCAAAGATTTATTTGACACAAGATTTAAATCTGAAGAAGACTTATTAGGTCTTAGAACACACGACACCTCGCACCCTACGTATTTACCGACATTCAAGCCAAGTAACAACGTTTATGATAATGACAATGAATTCAAAAATCTAGTCGAGAGGTGGAGACAGTCATATTTGAAGACTAAGTTAAAAGATGCACCTGTACGAGATTACGAAAGTTACGGGTCTGAAACGAAACCTATGCATGTGCCGATTCCGAAGCCGTACCCGGTAAGTAATTTGAAATATTTCTTGTAATTTTAATGTGATCATCACATTGTTAACTATGTCTATTTATGTGTATAATTGAGCAAAAAGCCTATGATATGATGGAATGCGGATCGGAAAAGCCGGCACAGAGCTCACGTCGCGCACTAATTTCCTCGATCTTGGCCAGTAAAATGATGCGCGCTCGTGCGCCCAGGAGAAATCATGTAATACTATACTCGACCGGGATTATAAGGCGTACAAATGAAAGATACAAGGCAAGGCTGGTTGAAATTCAAGTATAAATTTAAAACGTTTGGAAAGTTATGTAAAAGAAATCGAAATATGGAAATTGTGTAAGTGCGCCCTGATCGATGTTTTAACGAGTAGTTGGGCGACAATAATGAGCTCGACGACCTCCTGGAGTCACGCTACATTAGCTGCTATTGTAAGTGAAAGCAATAACGGGCTAGCTATCTGTTCAATAAAGATAGCCCTTTCTGAGATATTGGTTGATATAAATTAGTTCACGTCACACCAATGACAAACAGAAATTATACAGTAAGCTTTTTCTTCTAAAAAGTTATTTAATTAGTGTAAGTGTAAGTTAATTCGAATAATTTTATCGAAATTCAATTATGATTAAAAAATATAATGAAATTTTTGTATGAAAAAATGGCACAATAATATATTACAAGATTCTATCATGTCAGTGCTCACAAATTAACAAGAAAGTCAAAACGTTAACTTCTGCTTATTACACGCTGCGTTGAACTTGTTAATAAATAAAAAAGGCGAGCACGTTTGCATCGTAGCGGCTATAAGGGTTTCGTACATAATTACAATTATGATGTATTGTTGTGATCACGTATTCGGTGTTGCATTCGTAGAGCTTACCTAGGCCGTCTCTGACTTATGTAACCCTAACACGGCTACTGTCTTCACTTTAGCATGTGGTTCATTCACCATAACATAGTACTTTACTGTTACTGTTGCATGGCATGCATTATGCGTACTCGTACTACTCACAATTTCACTTTTTACCATTCCTTTGATTTCGGTTCAGGTAGAGCAGCGGATAGTTTGTATGCATTGTAAGAAGGACAGAAGAAAGTGTTAGCGTTAGTGATAAATAAAATATAGACCGCGCCTTTTGAAATATTTTTACCATGTTGTTGTACATTCATTGATGTAGTTTGATGTAGATTGGAGATTGATGAAAAGTCGCTTTTTATTACAAATGATTTAAGTGTTTGCGTGTGGTGTAGCTTTCCATTGGGCATCAAATATCTTGAAGATGCGAGTAATAAATTTAATCTTATTACATCGCAGTACTATTTCTACTTGATGTTTCACTTAATATATTGCTATGTAGGTATATTGACGAGGAAAATATCACAAAAAATACGGATTGTCGGTTGGAAAAAAAGAAAAGCGGCGTGTTATCACTAGACACTAAGTTACAATAAATAGTAGTACATATAAGTAACTAGTGGTAAGTGCAGAGGAAACATGAACTTGCAGATAGAAGTCCCTCACCCGGTAATCGTTCCGGTGCCGCGTCCGTTCCCGGTGCGGGTGCCGGTGTCTAGGCCGGTCGCGGTGCCGGTGGTGCGGGAGATCACCGTGCCAATCGAGAAGCCGGTGCCATACCCCGTCTACAAAAAGGTTCCGTACCCGGTAGAGAAGCTAGTCCCTGTGCCTGTCGAGAAAGAGGTTAGTGTCCTCGTATCTCGATGTTCTGCAGAGATGCGCACGTACCCCTTTGTGCGTGTCGATGAGACTGCGAAGCGCCACAGTTTACGCAACGCAACGGTACCGCAACGATCTCGCGGTCGACAACATTTACTTAGCATTTACATAGCAAGTTGACTACGTAGATTTAAATCGTTGAAGTGCAATATTAATTTGACCGAACTCTCATTCATAATTACTTTTGCTAACTTTGCATGTTTTTATCTAAACACCTAAGCATCTTTCACGTAAATCTAAAAGAAAATTCTTTCCTTATACAGTTACTAATTATAATTTTCCCACACTCAGCTAGTTGCATGAATATTATAATACTGCTAATTATTTCCTTCGTAATTGTAGAGTGTAGCATGTTAATTGCATAGTATTAGAGATAGAGATGTTGTAGCAAATTGGAATGTTTAGCACCTTGAACTAGAGTGCATGGGACTGTACTACAGTTAGTCTTTATGTTTGATATGAAGTTATTCTCTGTGTGATCAGGTGGCAGTGCCAGTTGAGAAACCCTACCCAGTGCATGTACCATACGTGAGACCTGTGTTCCACCACACGAAACCAGTGCACGAAGACCCTGAGAATATAGAAGAGGAAGACTTCATGCGTCGACCCGAATTAAAGAAACCTACTCAGTACAAGAAAAGACCATACGGGTAAGTAGTTCTTCTATAATTTGAAAGAAGCAAATGCAAAACGCAATCCTGAAGTATTATTTGAGAACTAGCTATATAGTAAAAATAGGTTTACCTATATATTAGAAGCTACCTGTATTTCTAAGTATGCTGAAAATGCTGGTTTAATTTAGTATTAAATTATTATAGTAAGTTGTAAACAGTTTTTTACTACTTACTATTAACTTAACGCGTTAATTTTTGAAAGTTATTAATTAATTTCAATTCTTTGGTTAATTCTTGATTTATCTACTCGATATGAACGTAGTTTTCACTCCAAGTATTTTTTTGAGGAAGTCTTAGCTTGTGTTTATTAAGTGAATGCTATAAATTATTCTGGGACGGACTAAATAATTTGAACACGCATAAAGATTAAATCATGTTTTACACAATTATGCAAACTTGTGGCCTGCGTGCAATTATGCGTGTCGGTAATGCACGCTAAGCCTTAACGAAGTTCATGGATATTTCATAAATACCTAGTAATGTAAATATTTTAAATTTGTGAATGGATTCTTCTAGCTGATGTGCATTACGATAAATACAACATTTTTGATCTAAGATTTGAAGTACATATCGAGACTTTTTAATCCCTATAAGGTTAAAGTTTTCATAATTTCTAATAAACCGTTTCGTTGTTATAGATTTTTTCATACGAAATACTGCCATTTTGCCAACAAATAAAGTTGCAGGGACTGAAGCCAGCCCACTTGAAAGACTAAGAAAAACTTATCACGATATCATAAATGGTTTTATTTTCATTGCCCTTGATTTATTGTAAACCTTTACTTGTTGCAGAACTCGTTACCGATCGCGAAGACCATCTCGTGCAAGTTACCAGCAGGATCGCAACAGGAGGCGGTGGCCTGAACGTCGTCGTCCAACCCACAGCATGGAACACAGACATCAGTCCAGACCAACAGAATTCCACTCTCCCCCATACAAACACCGCGATTATGAACCTGAAGAAGACGATGAACCCAGTGATTACAGAGCTTATTGTAGGAGAACGGGAAACTGTTGATATTTAAAAATGTACCCTAACAGTAAGGAAAGTCTTGTATCTAAACTCCCAGTTTTGTTTGGAGCTCTCAAATTATTGCATTTGTAGATTTTTTATTTATTTACTTAATATGGAATACCTTAGTATATGGAGTCTTTAGTTCAACTGGATTTAGGGGAATCAGCCAGCCCTATGATATGTCAATCGGTGTTATCAAGTGGCGAAATTAGGCCTTTTTCATCAATCAGTTGACATCTTCAAAATATTCCGGACTGATATTTTAAGTACCTTTGTATCTTATTTCATTTTTGTTCCATATTTTAAGGAACTTTTAAAATGATTGTTTTTTTCTTAATGTGAGTGACTATTTACTCCGAGAAAATCCGTAGGGTAAGTTGTTTCGATTGGTTTTAAAAGCCACTGTGCCAAATATTCTTTATTATTCTATTGTAAGATTGTAAGGAAAATATTTTCTGTTTTTTATTTTTAAACTTTTGTTAAGGTCAATTGTTATCTCGTCTTAATTTGTATAGTAGTTGTAATTATTTATCGGTTAGTTAGTAAAATTGTTTTAAATATACTGTTGTTTTTTCTAACATTAATTCTGATAAAAAAAAACTGTTGTGTCCTCGAAGAAAAGCATGGTAGGTACGGGTGATAATGATAGTTTCAAGTTGCAATTATTGGTAATTATTTCAATGTATTTATGTGGAATACGTGTTTAGTTGAGGAGATCAGTCAGTTTCGCATGGGCGCCCACTTTTACCAACGCTTCGATAAGCAGAATGCGCCTTACGCGCCGAAGAGAAATATGCGAAGACGTTCCTGACTCACAGTTTATTGTCCGCACATATCTGATATTTACAGTTACTATCATACGTCATTAACGTAGTAAGGTGAATATAATTATTTACGCGAGTTTATGAACACTTTCTAGTGGCTTCCATCAATCATCAAAGACTACCTAGGAGTTGTTATGGGGTACCGCTAGTTACGTTATTTTTCATATTACAATTGCTTATCAAAAATATTCAAAGATACCCATCCGAAATTAAATTATTTGTTCTACGAGTAGTAAGTATTGAGTACCTATAAACAGCCTTATAGTTAGTATTATGGGAATTTCACTGGGTATTTTAGAAGTACTAAGATTCGTATTAATGCAAACATTCTGAATACGCTACTATAGACATGATAAAAAAGTTTTCATGTTGCGGTGGCGGTAAGGGAGCTTCTCGTACTTGAGAGTGAGGGTTCGAAACCTGGCATAAACCAATGTGACTTTTTCTAAGTTTAACTTAACCTTTTAAGTATGATTATATAGATACTACTGATGTAGGAAAAACATCGTTAAAAATTATAAGTCCAGGCTTGGAGGAAGCCTGGACTTATAATTTCTAATTATAATTTTGAAATCACCAACCCGCATTGAGCAAGCGTGACGATGAAGCTCAAACCTTCTCCGTGTGAGAACAGGCCTTTGCTCAGCAGTCGGCACTTATAGGCTGACGGTGAGATGTGGGTATGTGATGTAAAAAGGTACTTCAAACAAGTCGCCATGACTGCAAAATAAATATACTTTAAAATTAAAATGATTTACATATTCCCATCAGATTTATATTTAAATATTCGTTGTGGCTTGCTAAAGCCGTGCTGACGTCATACAAAAAAAAAACAAATTAACCACCTTTATTTTTATTATTCTTTTCGTTTTTGACGTCACGGCATTTGTAGTTACAAATGTATTATGTGGTGGCATGAGGTGCACAATTGCATGAATCGCATCTTTTTGAAAGGACCGGACAAAAACTTTTCTCATAATTTATGTACTAGTTATGTAAAACTGCAGCTTCAGGGAAAGCCAAGCACTATTTTTAATCGCTAATTTTACTACACTACAGGGTTGTTATATAGGGCTTTACCACCTATAAAAAGCAAAGAACATTATAGAAAATTTACTCACCACCACATGACTAATAAAATAACTATTGTATGTGATAATGGTGTTATTTATTATTATACTAGCGACCCGCCACGGCTTCGCAAGGGAGCAATGTCGATACAAAACTTCCTATTCAATTACTCTATCTATTAAAAAACCGCATAAACAGCTGTTGCGCAGTCTTTAAGCAGATATAGAGATATAGGGACAGAAAAAACTACTTTTTAGTGTTTCTATTTATTCCTTAAGGGATTAAAAGCATGACTTTAGGATCTCTTGTCAGTAAATGCATTCTCGGCGTACACACGTACATACTTATGTGGTTTGCTGAACTGCGGTGGGATTTCCCTAAAAGGCTGGCAAGAAACGTTTTATGAATCATCCTTTTTAAAATAAAATAATATAGTATATGTATTTACTAATATTTTTATTGTTATATTTAATTATTTATTTGCGTTTTGCCTCGTCATTTATACCGCGTACATCGAGGGATTGTAACAGTTTGCCGGCTGCAGTCTTTCCGTCCGAATACAATTTAGGTGTCTTCAAGGCTAGAGTGAATAGGCTCTTAATAAACTAGTGCGCCTTACCATCAACGATTGCATCACTGCTTACCTGCTTACCATCAGGTGGGATCGCAGTCAAGCTCTAGTTTATTGCAAGTAAAAAAAAGAGTATCTAGCTGTCGAACCGACTGCTGCATAATGAGTGACGGGTTCAAGATTCGACACACGGAATTAAACATTGATAATCTCTTCACAAACCATTTATCATGCTTCATCATTACCATCATCCGCCTATGAGTGCCTACTTGCCTGGAAACGGTTTCGAAGCCACACCCTCATGTATGACATGCCTACTGCTGAGCAAAGACCTCAGGTTTCACCACGCTTACTCATTGCGTATTGGCTATTTCAAACTTATAGTTAGAAATTATAAGTCTAAGTTTCCTCACCATGTTTCCGTCACCTTATGTCAGTGGTAAATAATATCAGAATAAACATATAACTCGGAAAGGGTCACATTGGGCTAGGTTTAAAACCCGCACTCTCATGCGCGAGAATCGGGCTCCTTACTCTCCGGGCCACCACGACATTTCTATAATCCTAAAACATGAAACTATCATGTCTATAATATCATATTCAGTAAGTTTAGATTTACACTAATCTCATTATTTTTAACATCCCCAGTGAAATTCCCATAATATCTAATAACAATAAGGCTTAACAAGCAAAATTTACTAGACGTTGACATGGTTTAAACCTTTCAATCATGGTAATTCGAGACACAATAAAAGAACAATATGTGAGCGAGCGCCGGCTTTCGCTTGGGGTTTGATGAATTAATTTGTATTACTGACCAGCCATAAGCTCCAGTCATTTTTTGATTTTCATGTGAATTTTCCAAAATGGTCTATTTCTTTGGTATTCATACAACACTATATCTTCCAGTATTTAGAATCTGACGAAATAAAAAAAAAACAAATAAGAAATAGTGAAAACTATTTCTAGGTCTACATAGATACCGTTCGAGTAACATAAAACTAAGACAGGTATTAATATCATCCGTTCTTAGAATCATCTCAAGGGTCTCATCTTCTCATATTTCTATGGATCATTTCACAAGACGTAAACGGTCTATTGCAAATATAGAAGCAGTTGGCAATAGATAAATGCAAATACATAAACATACAACTTTATTGTAGGTACCTAGTAGTTGTGAATGTTAATTTGTAAAAGTTTCGTTTATAGATTTCTGGATGATTCATTCAATGTTAGGTGATATGAAATAGCTAGATTTTTAAAAACACTGCCCCACACCTGGATTTTTTCTGTGTCGTGATTGTTCAAACATAGGAATTCACATATACATGCCACCCGGTCCCGAAACCAAAATTTGTGAATCACATAAAGTGTCGTTGTTCCGTGCAGCAATCGAATCTGCGACTTGCGCCATGGCGCCAATCGTGCAAATATATTGAACGTAACGTGTTACCTAATTCCAATTTATAACAATTTATAGAACTAAACACACAACGCACGATTAAGATAGACAGTGTGTTAATAATAACAGGAAGGATAAACATACGAATATACTAACGATGTAGTGTGTATTTTTATAGGTACAGTCGGGATCAAAAATGCAATTGCACTTTACCAATTTTAAAATGACAAAAAAGGTCTTTGTAGAATAGAGTCAGCGTTCGAGGGCTGCTTCAATTTATAGCATAGAATCAAAATTATTGAACAAACTGGCTATGATCCATTGAACTTTTACTACAAAGAAATTTTAGTCATTTTAAAATTGGAGTGTAATTGCATTTTTGACTCCTGACTGTACATAGGTAACATGATAAAAGTGACCAGGTTTTATTGAAAATAACGATTTAATCAACTATATTAAGTAACTGAAAGAAGCTCAACTAGTTGCAGTAGTAACAAAATAAATTTATTTTCTTTCTTTCTAGTTTCGAGTCATAAACGTGAGTAAATCGTTATTTTTAATAAATTTAATCAGTAGTAGTTAATATTACTTGAAATCCGTTATATATTAAAACATACTAAGTACTAAAAAGCAAATCTAAAGTGTGTGGGAAAACTTGGTCACTGCCTTTTCAGTCAATACTTAGTTATAGCGCGCAAGTGTAATTGCTCTCATAATTACGACAGGAGGTGACGTAAAATGCTCTAGCTTTGGACAAAGTGAGTGAGATTTAATTATGCTGAGCACCGCATCAGTCAGGGACAGCGGTTAATGATCACGACTTGCTTTAAAAAAGTCCTCGCAGTTAGACAATTTGATATAAAGGCGTCTTGTAAGATGTAATGTAACCGTAACAATGGCGAGGCAAATTAAATTTAATAATGTTGAACTCTGACTTCGATTTGCAATCACTTATTGTTAGCTGACATAGAATAGTGATATATTAGTGGTACGTACATATGGCTTCGATCGCAACTTAGAATAAAAATTTGTAAACTGAGCTGCGACTTTTTCCTCGGTCCGAGGTACACTTACTGCTTACTAAAGGGTTTCTTCTTCGTTCGGCCATTTTTAGCAGATGGCTAGAGAATTAAAGTTTAATCACCGATTATTTTTTATTTTTGTTATAAGATGCAGCTAAGCACTTGAATAGTTAGTAAGTCTGACCGGATTCGAAAGTACCATCTGTTAACTAGTGGCGATATTTTAATTTAATTGGAATATGTGCCTACTTAAATATTTCTTTAAATTCTGTATGTAGGTTATATATCTCACAGTAGAACTATCTGACATGAGTTACTCCATCGGTTAATTTACACTTGAAAATGGTGTATCTACTAATGTTAATCTATTTCGTTTTATATTTATCGGTTTTTTAAGCTATCATAAAGGTTTTGAGTGGTGAGAAGAGATGTAATTGATGACTCTAATAAGGTACCTACAGCAATGATTTGAGGTACGTTGGCAACAACGAATTGTTGATTGATGATCCTAACACTACGCATACGTTAAGTGTTATAAGTGACACATGGTGACATATTGAAAAATGTATCAATTATGCCCGTTTTCACCAACAGCCCCTAAAATTTAAGTGTCTCCTAAGCCAATATAAGGGACACTTATCGCGAGTTTTGTTTTCACCAACGTTTAAGTGTCACCTATATCATTAGGGGTTCCTTATAATTTAGGGGATGAATTGACGACCCCGTAACGTTTAAGTGACACATAGTGTTAGGTTATTTTGCGAATCACCAAACAGTATTTTATCCTACTGAATAAGATAAAAAATAATAAAAATTGATAATAACCACTATTTATTTGAAAATTTTAAGCAATTGAAGATATGGAATTGTTAAGTAACCGACATTTGTATAGACGACCTCGTATTTATCGTGAAAGATCGAAAGATTTTGAAAAATATGATGAAAAAGACTTTTTCATGAGATACAGGTTCCCTGCTCAACCTTACTTGTATTTAAAGAAATAAATCTGTGGCACCGATTAACCAATTACTGTGTGCCCTTAGATTTTATGCAACAGGCAATCAATTATTATCTGTAGCAGATCTCAATCCCATCAGTGTATCTACTTGCAGTAGAATTATAAAAAGAGTGTCTGACGCTATCGTGGGTCGTGGCAAAGCGAATTCATACAATTTCCAGACACCGAAGAAAAACAACAAATAGTAAAAGAAGAATTTTACAGAATAGCTCGATTTCCAAATGTTTTAGGATGTATAGACTGTACATACATAAAAATTCAATTATAAGATTGGGCGTTTAGAGAAACACAGGTCCTTACAAGTAACCATTTATTACTGAATCTCCTATGAAATAATACATGATTTAATAAGATGGATAGACACGCACACATACAGATACGGCAGATCTTTGTGTCATATTTATTGAGCCTCCAGCGAACACAGTCGTTCGCACACCTATCGTCTTTCTATGATGTCTCTAATAATGATATTCAAAAGTCTTTTGATTGTATTAACTAGAAACTTGTTTACATTTATTTATGTGATAAATTATAGGAGGAGATGATGCCGAACTATTCCGGAATAGAAAAGGCAGTATGTCTATTAGTATGCAAACAATAAGTACTGCAAAATTATTAATAACTGATGTGGTGACACGCTAGCCAGGATAAACAACATTCTTTATCTTCAAGTGAAAAATTTTGACCACGTTTCCTCTTTTCTGCCATTGTAATTAATAAAAATTTGGTATTTTTTGAAAATACACGAAATGATTGAAATGAAACTGTCACTGGATAGTGGCATCAAAATGTCACCGGCACCGCGTCTTTGTAAGCTATGGCATTCAACATACAGCCAAAAAATAAAAACACAACTTTTTGTTACTAATCTAACATTCACCAGTTCAAGACTCTTCTTTTCGAAATAAATTGAAGTTAGAAAAGTTAATTACTTGTTTTAAGGTTGTATATTTACGAAAATAACAATAGAATTGTCTAATCGATTCATTTATCGATAACTGTTTGCATAGTTCCTCAACACTAAACGTCACCTAATTAGGGGGCTCTTAGTTAGGTGACACTTAGGACAGTGAAACAAAATTTAAGTTAAGGGATGATTTGAACGGTCCCCTAAGTTAAGTGGCCCTTACTAAGGTGACTGTTTAGGGGCTGTTGGTGAAAACGGGCATCATTCTCGTGCTAATGCTTTATGATTTATTGACTGCATCGTTGTTTCCTATTGTATTACTGCAACTGCTAAGCAGGTTTTATTAAGGTATTGTTCAGTGTTAAGTTTTTGAGAAATAGTCCATAGTCCAGTATGATGGTCGAAAGCAATATTGAAAATTTATACAAGGATAAAAAACTATGAATGACGTGTGAGATCTATTTGTCATCGACCAATGTTATTTTATTTAACAATAAATATTACATACTCACAAAGCTTAGTATCTAAATGACCGAGCTTTTGGGCGGTGTCCTTTTATTTATTTTCTGAAACAGAAACCTAGCTTGATTGATTTTTCATCGTAACCGTTGGAGCCGCTTCTGAGATCTTCTATAAACACACACGTATATACCCGTTCAAAGAGAATATATAAACTTACAAAAAATTGTTTAGTCTTTTTGAGATTTTTTTGTGACGTTTAATTGGATGATTTAATTGAATAATTAATTTATTCACCATTTTTTTAGTTATTTTACGGATAACTCACCGTTGTAGTGTAGAAGCGTTATATATACTTATGTATAGTAGAATTAAAAATAAGATCAAAATAATGACTGAAGATAACTCGTAACGCGTAGTTCGTAGTGCGTAGCTCATAGCATGTAGTTCATACATCCTAGTTCGTAGTCCACAGTACAACGCGCGTAGTTCGTAGCGCGTAGTACTTAGCGGGTTGTTGGTACTGCGTAGCATTGTTTTTGTTATTAATTATCTATACGTCTAAACTATTTTTAAACTCTACTGCTGAGTTAAATTGCGTGACCTGGCCAGTTGCACGTAAAAATACAAATTTCACATGGTCTTCTGCTGTTCAATTTAGGAAGTATTCATTACATATTAATTTAACGGATGAAATGTTTAATTATGCTCATATTTCGCAGTGTGTCTTAATTTAAGCTAAAAGTACCGTTTGGAACTGGGTTGGTGTAAATGGCTCATCAACTCAAAAAAACTTTTTTAGTCTAAACCAAAAGTCCTTCCGTGTTGATGATTTTAGGTGGAGGTAAGTAGATTACAATAGTTCAAATATAACATGAATTTTAGATCATTTATTTTTTATATGGTTATTATTATTGGAGGTACATAATCAGTATCATTAGGCTGCCAGGCCTGCCTGGTTTTATCACGCATCATCACAAAACGAACAATACTCATCTGGTACTAATATTCAATTCAGTGTGACATTTTTTTCGCAAATTAGCGTAGGCTCGTCGGTCGTGGATAAAAATGTAATTGGTCTGTTTGAATGGTCAGCGGATGTAGTGGTCACGGGGATGGGCCTTGAATTACCTATCCGAGTCGAATTCACAACGTTGTGATCGCGCAATCGTCGAGTGTTTAAACATGACATAGTAATGGGTGGTGTATAGCAATCGGTTAAGCGTAAACACGAGTCTTTATTACCAGTCTTTTTCCTAAACGTCTTTGTATTGGACAAATTACCTACATATTTAAATCATAGTTTATAGATTGTTTAATGATATTTTACAGCTATATTTACATATTCGAAGCCTATGCTACAACTGTACAATGGTATGAGTATGGAAAGAAGGCTTTGTATCGAGAAGTTGTTATGTATATATAAAGGCTTGCGAGACCTCGAACTGTTTAGTCTGTCTGCGCGGTCCCGTTGAACCGGTCGCGGGCTGATTGACCCCCACTACACACCTTCGGCTTTATTCTACCACTCCAAGCTAAACGTAAGTTTATCAATCTTTTACAATCAATTTAGTGCATGCTCCAGTTTCGTTCATAGACTTTATTCAGATTGGAAAAAAATGACTGTTTTATTTTCGCAAATTTAAATTTAAATAGACCTTTCCACGAAATGTTTGTCCTTCAAATAAAAAAAGTATTGATTTTTGCATCGATAAGATGTTCTCAATCAATCAATAAGGACTGGATTAATCAGTTTTTATGGTTTATGATTTAACTTTGCTTTATGTAAGTATTTTTTGTTGTCGAAAGCCAAAACGAAAATACTATTCTGTGCAAATAATATATTCATATCGTTAGTTGTTCGCGACACTTAAATGCAGTGTCACTCAAGGAAAGGAAATGTTTTTGTTCCACCAATATTTTATGCAAGCATATTAATGAGTTAAGTATGTAAATATTTAATTGTGGGAAACTTCCTGTTGAGTTCAAAAAACTTTGTACTTGCTTGTTGTTAATGAGTTTAAAAAGATTAAGAAAAAGAAAAATCTGATAGAATAACAGAATTCCTACTTTACGAGTTTTAGTACTTATGTAGATACTTGGTAGATATTTTATATGATTTGTATAACTAGGCATATGGATTTTGTTAAAAAATGAAATTGTACTTTATCACTTACCACAAGGTATTAAGTTGTTAAAAACTTTATTAATACATCGAAATAATACACATGGACGCCCAATGTCACAGGGATGAAACAAAAATCAACCGATGCGATGCTACAACTATCGCAAGTTGATGAGGAAAACAAATATTATTTAAATAAGTTATGTTCAAATGAGTCACCTGAGAAAGCTACGACTTTCCTTACGCCTACCTTGATTTATTTAAGTAGGTTTGCGTTATTTATTTATCAATATATTTATTGATCAAGAATTAACGTCATGACCTTTTTTAAGAAAATTAGAATTAAACTCTATTAGCTATGCATTGTAGAACACACACAGAAATTTATATTATAACCTCCTTAATAGTTTAAAAGTACTTATCAAAGAGTATCGCTTCATTGAACTAGAAAAACAAACAATTTACTACTGAGTACTGAGATATGAATTTGCGGAAAAATATTAGTTTTGCTTGAGAATGGTTACAGTAATTTATTTCAAACTTTAGTCATTAGTATCCACAACTATTGTGACGTAGGAAAAAAACTTCGAATACCTATATATACCTACTTATAGTTGTTTGATCTTTCCTGTTATATGATGTAGAGTTTTTAATCTATTGTGCTTGGTCAACAATGCCTAGAGATTAATATTTGTGGTTGATGTAAGTTACTGTTTGTCTGAGTTTCGGCGAACTTAATAATAAGTAGGTAGGAAGCCCAAACGATTCGGAGAAAAACCCATCGCAGCATGTGTTTCCCCTTTTCCAAACGGAATTAAGTATTGACAATACATTTTTATAAATAGGACATTCGGAAGCCAAGTGGTACATAATATGCTAAGTACAAATAGTTTTATTTCTTACATGATTATTTTAAAATTACTAACATAGGTAAATATTATTACCCATTATAGCTATTGCCCGCGACCCCGTTCGCGTGAAATAGGGACATTTTTTTTTGGTGTAAAAAATATCCTATGTCATTTCTCGAGTTCCAAACTACGTCTGTACCAAATTTTACGGAAATCGATTCAGTAGTTTAGGCATGAAGAAAAGACAGACAGATAGAGTTACTTTCACATTTATATTATTAGTATGTACGGCATTTAATGTTTTTTTATTAACAATCCTACTATACATACGCGAAAGTTTGTAAATAAACATCTGAATGGGTCTGAATGTAATTTGACATAAAGGCTTTTTAACCTATCACTGTAGGAGAGGCCACTGGTAGAATGTAGAACAAAACATTTGAGTTTTTGGTAAACCCTTATTTTCAAGCTTTAAGGTTGAAAATCAAACTGCACGCACGTTTTGTGAGACGACTGGCCAATAAAGAGTATACATACAATCTTAAACAATCGCTTTTTTAATTGTTATAGACCAGTAAACGGAATCTCATAGGACGTAGGATTCTCACAATAACCGTTACAGAGATAAAAGAACTGTTTGCTTAACGATAAGTAAATATTATAGTTAACAGCTACATAAACTTAACAGTTATTTAATTTAAGAATGTACAGGAAGTTTCTCATGACAATGGATTCATTATGCAAAATAAAGTAAACCAAGCAAATAGGTACTAAGTGACTGCATAGATTTATTACCACACTACTTGTAATTATACTAGACATCATTACAGAACATCATAAATAAGTTTGTTTATACAAATTTGATGATGTTTCTTATGATCGAGAATCATAAGCTACTCGCGAACCTTGAACAACAGTCGCAAAAACTGGTGACTTCGCACATTCTCTTACCTTATACCTTGTTCCTGTACAATTACAATTTACATGCATACATATATCGGAAGTAATATATTTATGTATCAGTTACTTATAATATTGTGCGTGTTTCTCACTCGACAAAAGCACCGCAACAACTTTGTATCACGTTTACAAACACTGTGATGTTCCTTTTATTTAGTTTAACGTTTTACGCAATCTTGTCACAGTTCCCATGCTATCCGAATACATAACAAGCTCGATCTGTTCGATAAGGAAGAATACAGCTAACTTGTCGTTTCTCAATAATAAGATCAAGCCATCTGCAAAAACGTGAGCCAACTGTTATGATAGGGTTTGAGAGATGCTCCGCTTCACAATACTGTCATTACCACGTTGCAACATCTCAACTCGACGAGTACAATTGTCACCATTCAAAAATACCAGACGCAACATTTAATTGCGAAAATCTCACTAATATATTTTAATTAACTTATTCAGCAACAATTTTTTATCCATTTCATGTATTTATTAAAGCCAAAAGGTCGTTATATCATATTTTTAACTAAAAAAGAATAATATACGCACTACTAGGAGTTAACTTGGCAATAAATCGGTCATACTTCAAACAAAGCTTATAACTGTAATTATGGATTTCTTGCGAGAGTTAAAGTGATAAATCATATTCGTTTTAATTGTCTGTGTAACTAACCGGAATTATTAACACTTTGTATCTGGTATCTCCGGGCGATGGAATATATTATAATCAATATGTAATTTTCCAGATTAAACATGAGGGCAATCGGCTTCGTCGTAGCCCTTGCGGTTGTGACGGTGTGTCACGCCGCCACACCTGAGCTACGGTTTGCATGGAAACAGATGGACTTTGCTTGGGAGACTCCAGAAAGCAGAGCAAATGCTATTAATGAGAAGAGATTTATCCCTGAGAACAATCTGCCATTAGGATTAGCACGTTGGAAGAACAAAGTATTTGTTACTGTGCCCAGATGGAAGGCTGGTGTAGCTTCTACATTGAACTACGTAGATCTAGATGGGCCTCAAGACCAAGCTTTAAAACCTTACCCATCTTTTAAGGACAACTTTGTACCCGATGACGCAAAGGAATTACCTTCAAATAGCTCGTTGATCTCAGTTTTTCGAGTGTTCGTGGACGAGTGCGACAGATTGTGGGTCATCGATTCTGGAATGGCAGACATCTTTGGTAAGATCTAAAAATAGAACTCACGAACTTGAATTGGACCGGTATTTTATATAGGTACTTTTGTTTTATAGAGGGTCCTAGTAATGTTGTCAAAACTATAGAATTCGTATTTTCTTTGCATAGGATTTAGGTAATGTTGCTTAGTTATAGTAGAAACCACTAAGTAATTAGGAACCTTAAGTAGCATCAAAAAATTCACGGATAATTAATTCGAGATTCAAGCACTTTATATTACCACTGAAGTTGTAGATTTTGTGCTGAAACAAATATTAAGGCAAAAATAATGAGTGTGTTAACAAAAAATAACAATCAAATGTCTTTTCACTCTTTTGGACATATTTCGCATGCGTTGTGTGACCGAGTTTGCATGAGAAAATTTATTCACACTGCAGTATCTGATTGTATTATGTATAATTAACTCAAGTTTTATACTTCTTTGCAATTTAAGATATCAAAGGAGTTGATATACATCAATCAAGACTTTTTTACCTAGATGTGGGTATGAATAGAATTATGTTGCAAGTACTTGACATAGTTACAAAATAAATTATTTTGACTGTTTATATGTTGCTTATATTTATACAATCTATTTAAAGTGCGCAAGGATATGCGCTTTTCTAGTGTAGGTGTTATTAAACAGTTTATTGCAGAGAATATCTAATTAATAGGGCAATTTAGAAGTCTAGGCTTAGTCTAGTGGCCAATTACAATACAGTTACATTGACCCCTGTATAAGTTAAAATATATAACTTAGACTTGTTTGTAGCAGATCCGAACTCCTTGCTATTTGAAAGACCGTATTTATACAAATAAAGAATCTTGAATCTTGTATGTACGGATGTTGATACCGTAGTTTTGCAACGACAAAACGCAAGTTCCTGTCTTTGCTTGCTAGGCCGAGAGGTGATGGTTACGCTACATCTCGTCGCTAAGGACAAACTTACCTACTATTGGTACCTAAATACTTGAGATTTGTAGTGATGAAAACACCAGTCTACGTACTCAGTACTTGAAAGTTTGAGGTTCCAAATATTTAAATCAAGAGCGTCATTGATTTAGCGTGTTAGTTTGGGAATCGGGAAAGGCTGGTAGACTAGTACCTACTAAGAAATATTATGATCAAACAAATAATCGTGATACCCCTGTAAAACTGAGACACAAATATTATTATAGAAGTCTATAAAATATCAATAAATAGTAATGAACTATAAATAAACGCAATAATCTGGAACAAATCGTGATCGCTTGACTACAAAACAACATTCAATTAAATGCATATTTATATAAGGAACATAAATATTTATTGAATTGCCACTAGCTATACTATGTGTTAACAACTTAACTTTTAATTTGATTGGTCTTAGTTCCCTGTTATTGTGATAGTTGTGTATTTGTTAATTGAAGTTTGTTTGAACTTTACAAAATGCAATCGTTACCAGCTTGATACATGCAATATTTCCTCAAATACGATAGTTTCTAAACTAGTCAAATTCAATACTTTTATCCAAATGTCAAAAACGATACCTTTCCATGAAATTTGTATGAAAAACTGAGTTATGTTGTCAAAGTATTTTTAAGTCAAATAGCTTAATTATTTCTTAAAAATTAGCTGAAAATATCTAAAATTTTGTGTATCGATCGATCGATGAATGAAAGTAGTTATTTTTCATTATATTATTTATTGTATTAAAACGTCGAATTAATTTATTTTTGACTTGACTAGGAAACTACCCAAGTCTTTGTCAGTAGTTGATTATTTATATTTCTTTTTAATGAAGAAGAAAGAAGAACGGCTTATTTTTACATTTTTTCATTGACATATCTCTCTCTCTCTCTCTCTCTCTCTCTCTCTCTCTCTCTCTCTCTCTCTCTCTCTCTCTCTCTCTTTGTATCATGAGGTTCTACGATAAAGAATCTTTAGAAGGATATTTTCACTCCGCAAAATTTTGATGGTAGATTGTTGTATCAGAAAATTATTCAGTTTCTGACGGTAATTTTTTTTTTTTTATTAAATTATCAAAAACAATATTAACAGGTTTTAACTGGTTCAGCATCACTTAAACCTCTCGGGTTTGTGTGTGATACTATTATACTATTGTTTTTGTTTGTTTCCTTAGGAGCTGGAAATCAAATCAACGGGCCCTCGATCGTAATCTTTGACTTGAAGACTGACCAGCTGATTCATCGGTACCAGTGCAAGGCTAGTGACATGAAAGAAGATTCGTTCTTCGCTAATATTGTAAGTACATCTATAAAATCTCATGCCTATACTTGCACTGTTTAAAAAAGGCAGTTTTTTCAATTTTCTGTGAAATCTGTTAAGTAACAGATAGTTCAACTTACTTTTCGATAACTAGTTTCTCTTGCAAAGCAACCTTTGGGTGATGCAGGGAGAACATGGGCAATGTTGCTCCCTGCAGTAAAAGAAAAAGAAGGAAACGTACATCCAGCAATTTTTAATTAAAAAGCAGCATTATAGCAAAATAATATAAATATCATACACGTATAAATATCATACGTAATACAATCCATTAGCAAACAGCTATTACACGCATTTACATGAAATATACAGTTGCTTTGAGTAAAAAGTAGCATCTGCCCATAAAGTTGACACAGAAAATTGTGCCAGATTTATTTCAGATCCGTTTTGTAGTTTTTAAATGAAAGGGTAGATAACAATAGTTTAGTTTTACACAATTACAAATTGTCGCGATTCTATGATTAGTAGGATACATGAGTGATATAGATAAAAACATCGAATGATATCTCGCACCCTGGGTCCGTAAAAAACTCCGGTTGGGACGATGACGTAGTTATTAAGCCAGGAGCCATATTCTTTTTTCATAATAGGATTGAATACAATTGACGGAAAGTTGGTGTGTGGTTAAGCTCTCTACATAATCACCGTGTCCAAGAAATACGATGATTTTCGTTCAGTTTATCCTTATTGTATATATCGATAACTACTATGACTACTTTTAAACAAAGATGTACAACTCATGTCATGTTTTTTACACTTCAGGTTGTAGATGTAAACAAAGACACTTGTGATGACGCATACGCCTACATTCCGGATTTGGGAGGCTACGGAGTAGTGGTATACAGTCTCAAACAGGACGACTCTTGGAGGATATCCCATCACTACTTCCATTTTGAACCTTTGGCGGGTTCGTACAACGTCAGCGGTATCGAGTTCCAGTGGACTGATGGTGTATTCGGATTGGCTCTCTCAGAACCTAGAGAGGATGGGTAAGTTTATAACTAATGATAAATTATGGACTTCACGGTTGGCGTGGTTGCTGGGATATAGCGCAACGTATTACGGGTTGGATTATCGTATGGAAGAGCTCCTTGTGTGATCCAGAAACAGTTGTTTCGACTCTGGGTGTCATATGTATGTGAATTTGTATGTTTCTAAACGCATCTACGACACAGGGAAAATGTTAGCATGGGGCAATTAGATCGTAATTAAAATAAAGTAGTTAGTAGTTAAAATTGAGGAAAATCGACACTCGTTGAACTTAACAAAAACGCTATTGTTGCAAAGATTTGTTGGAAACGTTGTGAGTGATTTTTGATTGCGGCCATCCTTCTCATAGTGATACTGTAGGCTAGTACCTATCACAAGAAAAAGTGAATAAAGGTCACTAGAGAACTTAATTGCAATCTACATGTTATCCTTGCTATATCTGTATGTATCTATATACATACCTAATGTATTCTGCGAACTGGACATGTGCCAATCTAATTGCAGTTTTGAAATATCAAGTTTAATGCGTATCAGTAGTAATAAAAAGAGTCATAACTTAATTGTCTAGAACTATCATTCTTAATTTCGAAAACGCTCATTAAGTTAATAAATTACCGAACAATATGTGACGTTTGACACTGACCCCAAAAATTAATAAAGCTCTCAAAACCGAGGTCGTATTTATCAAACGTCTAATTATGATTTTTAGCATTGTATGTCGAAATTGCAAATGGCTCACAATAGTGAATTGCTTTGTTCACAGGTATAGGACAATGTTCTTCCACGCATTTTCCAGCACCAAAGAGTTTTGTGTATCCACCGAGTTACTCCGCAATTACAAGCATATTGACAAGATCGAAGCATTCCATGACTTCAAGGTTCGAATTCCAACTTATTGCCATACATAGACCTGCACTGCATTATTTATGAGCAACAATGAAACAATTGAATCGCGTTAGGATTTATAAATAGCTCTTAATGCTTTTGTTTACGTAGAAAGTTTTTATGATTCTAGATGTTTAGCAAATATACGATAAGAAGGCTTTTGTTGTTGATTTTACAGCTCCTGGGTGATAGAGGTGAACGCACGCAGTCAGCTGCCAGTTACTACGATCCTAAAACACATGTCCTGTTTTACACACAGGTGAGAAAACTTGGTACCAAATCTAACAACTACGTAGTTCTAACACATATGAATGCGTAACAAAATGGAAATGTATATACATATAAGACATATAGTGAGATCATGAAACGTGGGTATTCCATTATATCCGCCATTTTTTTTCGCACACATGCACAAAAATATAATAATAACCAAAAACCTTTAACATACTGTAAGAGTTAATTGCAGAATTTAATTACTAAAATTAAGAAGCAATGCTCGGTCATTTGTATACCCACGAACAACGAACGAACATGCACTTACTTAATCGAAGTAACGGTAATTTAAATAACCTTCGTTAACAATATTATTGAATGGCGAACCTTCACCACGGTTGACATTCTTTCTATACCTATTTACTCGATCTTGGCTATACAATAAATACCACCTGCAGCCAACAACCTTCATCTTACGTACCTGACAAAAGAATCTATAGACAAAAAAAATATATAAAAACTGTTACCTTAGATAGAACTTAACTCTATATTAGGCTTGTAAAGTATTGTATTCATTGGTGTCGATCGAATGACATTGCATCTTTTATGTCATGAGTAATGACAGCTATCTAATTAATTAGACAAGGCACTACAGTACCTGAAATAGTTTAAGTCAAGTAATATAAGGATATTAATACATGTCTTAATAGACAGTAGGGTCATTCTACATGGAATAAAAATGTTCGTTCAATAGCTGGGTGAAAAATGACAATATCTTGTTCATGAGATTTATTTATTCATGTACAACACATATATTAAAAAAAAGGTAGACAAAGGTACAGTAAGGGTCAAAAATGCAATTGTACTCTACCAATTTTAAAATGACCAAAATATCTTTGTAGAATAGAGTCAATGGTTGAGGACTGCTTTAATTTATAGCATAGAATCTAAATTATTGAATAAACTGGCTGTGAACCATTGAACATTTATTACAAAGAAATTTTAGTCATTTTAAAATTGGAAGAGTGTAATTGCATTTTTGACCCCTGACTGTATATAGGTCTGCATATACCATTTGGAATCTCTTCCTGCAGTCCTGTGACAGTAACAAAACACAAGACACAGAAAGAGATCTTTAACTTTGATTACTTTTAGGTGAACCGTGACGGAGTGGCATGCTGGAACTCCAACAAACCATACACACCAGACAACAACCCTCTTATTGTGACTGACCCCAAACTTTTCGAGTTCCCCAACGACTTGAAGGTAAGGAACACAATTATTGTTTTTTAGTCGAATATTTAGATAATGCCTACGGCGTTAAGTCCACCTATGTACAAAAAATGTGTGCATAAAGCTTAATAAATATACATATACATATAAACCTTCCTCTTCAATTAATATATAAAAATACGGATCAAAATCCGTTGCGTACTTTTTAAGATTTAAGCATTCATAGGAATATACGGACAGGTGAAGCGACTTTGTTCTATACTATGTAGTGATGATAATTTTGAAAGTCTGACTTGACTAAATAATGTTTTAATTAACTAGTTTACTAAGCATAGGTAATGATAGTGTTTTCTTCTTATAAAGAATCAATGATATAAAAACTTTTTTCACTTATTAAAAACTTTTTTTCAATTTCAGGTGGACAGTGAAGGAACCCTGTGGGTGCTTACTGACAAATTAGCTCGCTTCCTATACAAGACTATAGACCCGAACGAGGTCAACTACAGAATATTCAGCATCGACACGACTCAGGCGATCGAGGGAACTACGTGTCAATAAGCTGTTTTTCCGTGTCCGTGACAATATTTGTCGCGGATATCTTACTTAATTTAAATAGACTACTACTTACAAACCAACATGAAGTTATCTATTAGAAAGATATTTAAGTATATCTACTTGATATTATAAAATAAATCTAATATTTTATAAGTAGTAGGTCACATAACAGTATTGTTATATTTCGTATGTAAGTAAAATAAATATGTAAAGATTTGTATATCGCGATAGATTGTATGATGAATTAATATAATGTGATAATATTGAAATCATTTTCCATGCATACATAAATAAGTGATAACTCATAAATTTCAAATACTTATTGCAAATGTTTTATGCGAATTTTATTATGTATTTTATTTTTTCATGCCGATGTTTAAAAAAGACTTTTCAAAAAGTAAGTATTTATTTTGATCTCACGCAGCAACAACAAAATAAATAATAAAATTATCTACGTATATATTTATCAGTTTTTTTTTATATTTTTACGTTTTATCTTAAATCAAAAGGACCACTTCTTGGAGGTTTATATTTATATAATAAGAGCTATCTGTTTAGCTATAAGCAACTACTATTTTGTTATTTGATATCCTGATTATATTAGAGTACAAATTATGTAACTCGTAAGGTCATTAGATAGTATAATAAAATTATTATTTCTATAAAACTTCTTTTAAACCTTCCCATGACTATTACAATTAGTTCAAGATCAAAATGAATCAAATCGATCTAGCCATTTTCGAGTTTTAGCGACATTAACAAACAGAACAGCTAAAGATTTACTCTTTCAGGCCATACGCGATCTTTCATTAAATCATATCTTGACTGCACGGTCGGTGCGGTGGCTGGGCAACTGGCTGCCGTGCAACGTGTCGCGGGTTCGATTCCCGCACGGAACAACTCTTTGTGTGACCCACAAATTGTTGTTCCGGTTCTGGGTGTGATGTGTATGTGAAATTGTATGTTTGTAACCGCACCCACGACATCATATTTTATTCAGGCGCTGAATCTAAACTCAATCATATCTTTAAAACAACGAATTTTGTAATTTATGAATGCTTTAAGTAGTGGACCAACCCTTATTGGAGATGTTTTTATACAAACAACAAATACCTCTTCAACAACACTAAATTCTACCTCAGCTATTTAACAAATACATATAGTTTTATTTTATCAATCTATACTAAACAACAACTGTATTACGATTCTTTTCTATTTCTTTAGCGGAATATAACTTGCTCTCACATAATTGAACCAACGCTATAATGTTATCAAGTAGCAGACTGCGATACCGATTGCGAAAGAGTAACCATAAAGAACGAGCAAGACAATTCTTGCTAATTCCTTGCCATCGGAATATATACTAAAAAAACATTAACGACAGACTTTTAACTCTTATTATAATTTATTATTTTTTGACGTTCAAATGTGTCGTTTATTGATGGGTCTATTTGAAATAAATGGTTTTGCTTTAACTTAGCAAAATCATTAAAAGAACATAGTACACTTCGACGTCTATTTGGTATTTTTTGTCATTGATTTTTTATACAATTTCATGGTTGTTTTTACTTGTGGAACTACATATAATTATACGAAATAGGTTAAGTTTAGTTAACAACACAATAGAGTTTGAGATAAAATTAAAATAAACATGTCATCTGTTATCTTAGAATGTTTCATGTCATCGATTATAAACTTTACTATATAGCTATAGATACACATAGGTATCTATTTACTGATTATCAGATATATAGTCTAGGGACATAAGGATAACTTAGTAGGACCAGAGAAAAGTTTTAATATTATGTAGATGTATGTATGCTTTTGGTAGAGTTTTATCATCTGAGAAAAAAGAAAAAAGACTCTTACTGACAAAAAACCCCCCTGTTCCTTCTCCTGCTCTAGGCCGAGGTCGCGGTGGCTCATTGCGCTTACCCCGCAACTCCGGCTGAACATCAGCCCTACAGGGCCCCGTCTGTGGTGGTCTATTTGCTCTTTAAGGCACGCGCGAAACGCTCGTAGTGTCGCCTGTTGCGGCGGCTGGGGCGTGAGGAGGAGGTTTGCTCCCTCACGCGGCCCGCCTCCCTCTTTGCGAGCATAACTGCTTCACAGAAGTAGGAGACGGCGTCCCAGTTCCTCTCGCTCTGCACCATGGCCTCGACTAAGGCCGGGCGCGAGAGGTCGCCACCGCCGATCACTAGATTGCCTTCCTGATGATACGGCGGTGCTCGGCTCAGGCTGGGGACACCGTCACTGTGTCTGGGTGGTCCTCAGAGTGACGATACCCGGTCATTTTCCTCCCTTCGGATTCCAATACTTCCATGAAGATGATAAATATTTTTCTGGACATTAGGGGTATCGATCTAAGATTCTATCACAATGTTACACTTACTTGCATAGATCCTTATTTAATATTAGGTACGGGTAACGATCTAAGAATCTATGCCAATATTACATTCACATCAATAGGTACCTACTTACTTAATATAAGGATTTATTGGAGACCTAGTGTAAAAGAGATTGCTCAATCTCTATTTGCCTCTTTAAAAATCAAAAGGTTTATGTCAATATTTACTTTTGAGAAAAAAATATTGAAATTTCCGGAAAGGGACGTTGTTATGTAATGGCTCTTTCTGTTATGATTCCTAATTAAACCAATCCATTCACAAGAACACACAAAGCGGGAGACGGAATATTTATGTGCATGTGTCAACAGTTAAGTCAATTGAACAAGATTGCTTGTGAATGGAATCTTACTACAATGGGTCAATAGGATCGTGATACTCATAATCCATATTTGCGTTGTACTATTAATTCTCAATAGTTTTAATGAAGAAATATAAGGTTTTATTATAAGTTTATTTTCCTGATAACGTTTGTTACTGGCAAAATTGAGAGACCTTGTCGGGAACGAGCGATAACTAGTTTATTTAGCTGTATTTTAAGCGGTGCGCGTAGCTTGGCGGTGTCATTCACTAGTCCCCAGTCGCGTGTCGGTCGTGTTGCAAGAAACCCACTACGTCATGGCCTCCGTTAAATCTGAAAAAGTCGGCATTGTTGGCAGGTAATTATTTAACTATTGTTGTTTTATAATTATTATTGCCGTTTTAGGTTCTATGTTTATTATTATTGCATTTATTATAACTTTAATCACCTTTTTAATGCTCTTTTTAGATATAAATGAACGTTATTTTTTATATCCAAGTAAAAATAGATTTTATTTATGAATTTAATTAATAAATTGTGTCCGTAGCTAAGTATTCATTCACTGCATCACTGAAATAATTAGAAAAGGCATCCAATTATTATATTTTTAGATTATTTTTTTCAAATTCATCGCACAGGGAAAAAGTGATGATTTAAATACTTGCCAATTCGTATCTGATTCTGTTTATTATTTTGCTAAACAAATCACCGGTTTCTCTACAAAAGGTATGATTACGACCTAACTACGATCCTTATTTACATACACAAAACATATTTTGCTTCACTATGAAATGTGTATGTAAGATTACGAGTGAGCAATAAATGCCTAGTTACAAAATCAACAGATCACTTTCTACCGTTTCTTTTCGATCGTCAACATTAAGAAAGTTGTAGCAACTACTTGACTGACATTATTATAATCTATAATCTAGATGGACTAGCACAGGAACTTTCAAATTATTTGAGTTCAGTAAAAGATATATCGACTCCATCATTAAACCTCTTTGAAAAGCCATTCTTATTCGTTGTTTGTGACAAACATAAAACTGATTCTTGATCACTATCAATGTTATTTTATTATTGTAAAAGATATGACATTATCATTAAGTTCATATAGAGGTTAATTTACTTAAGATAAATCGTAAACCTTCATGTTTTGTATAATTGTCAAGCAAAGAAATACAGTGGTATGATTGATATAATTGGTTTTAAACTTCTCATTTTAAAGCTTCGTTGCTTTAGATGTGCTCTATACTCGTAACTACGAATATGAAGTTCAATTTAAATGTTAAAATGGCTATTAATTATTATAACAAGTGAATAAGTGCCCTTTGCAAGGTAATACCTACCTTTGCTTGCTTACTTATGTCTTAAGAATGTTGGTATAGCGAATATGTATGATTTTTTCTTTAAAAACTAGGATTTAGAAGTTAGGAACTAGGAATCTAGCCTCACACCAGGAATTTTTAGTGTGTCGTGGATGCGGTTAAAAACATACAATTTCACACACATGACAAGACTCGGAACAAGAATTTGTGGATCACACAAAGAGTTGTTGTATTGTATCTATCATAAATTCTTTGTAAATACGAATCGAAATTGCTTCTTTATGTGATCGATGTCGGTCTGATTCAGTGATAGTTCCGGTGACCGGTAAACATCATGCAGTGACATTGAATATGCTTTCAAATGAAACGCGTCATCATAATTATAATATACTTATTTCTCGTGTTTAATTGATACGTAATGCTGTGTTCATTTAAATGTACACATTCTTTTTCCTGAAAAAGCATGCCTTATTTTATTTATTGTTAGAGATATAAAAATGTATCATTAAATACTTAGATGTAAAAATGTATGATTTCAAGATCGACTATCTTTTGATCGACAATTTCTCTTATCTTTTGGTGACTTAATAAACGAGAAAACTTATATAACGAACGTGCCATATCCTAATTCAATTCAAAAAATACAGATTAGTCTAAATGATCTTTTCGAGTTAGTGAATATGTGACCAGCTTTGCTCGAATAGTTCCCATAAGTACGATGTATTTTTAAATATTTTTTGTAACCAATATCCCAATCTTACTTTGATTAATTATTTTTTTGTTTAGTGGCCTTATCGGTCGTTCCTGGGCCATGCTGTTTGCGTCTGTGGGATACCAAGTGACGATATTCGATATCGTCCAGCAGCAGGTCACCGATGCATTGGCCGACATTAAAGTGCAGCTCAAGACTTTGGAGAAAGATGGTTTACTGAGAGGAAATCTGAATGCTGACCAGCAATTCTCGTGTATAAAAGGTAAGGATATGACTAAAGTTTGTTTCACATTTTAATTGTGGAATAATTTAGAAGAGTCATGCTTCGGCTAAATGGGCCGGCTCGACCGAAGTGACACTACGGCCTTAAAGAAAACCAGCGTGAAGTAACGCTTACGTCCCACCATCCTATTATATTCCACAAGAAACCGGCAACTCACTTATTTCCTTCGATATTGCGGGTGTCCATGGGCGGCGCTGATTACTTAACAGCAGGTAATCCGTTTGCTCTTTTGCCGACCTATGATATAAAAAATGGCGAATTCAATATTTTACCAATTAATATTGATGAGGATTCTCTTAAAGAAATCTATCTCAACTAAATATAATGCCTGTTCAGCTAACAGTAACTTAACTCAACCAGGCCTTTATTCATCGTGAAGAAGGAAGTATAATAATTTGGTTCATTTATGTGCTTTATGGCTCTCTCAGTGAATAGGACGCTACGTTCAAAAGTTGTTTTACCTACTTGATGTAAGAAATGCGCTCATTACCTGAAAAAAGGTATCTTGTTATAGAAGAGACCTCGTCAGGTGTGATTTTTTCTCTAAACAAAGGATCCATTTTTTTCTCGCTTGTTACTTAGATTCTATGAAATACCCGTCAATTCTCTCACAAACACAAACGTATCCTATGCAGCTGTTCCAAAAGTTGTTAAAAGAGGTTATATTTGAATTAATGTTTGAATACTCTATATTTTATATATTTTTTTAAATAAAAAATTATTTAAATCAAACATTCACAGAATTTACAAATATTTATTTTATATGAATGTTTGTAATTTACGCATACTTTTGTAGATACGAATGTCAGCTGATCATCGGCCATTAGGTTCACTGACCTATGACCTCAGAGAAGTTGCTTCTATATTATTATTTTTTAGCAGTGTAATAAAACTTACAAAATTCACCGTAAATATAATAAAATGGAACCACGGGGCCCAGTGGTACCCTATAAAGTAGAAAAAATAAAACGTTAGCCATCTCTAGATTTTTTTTCTGAGTCGTGGGTGCGTATTTAAAACATAGTATTTTACATTCACAAGATACTCATATACCCGAAATAACAATTTGTGAATTACTCAAAGAGTTATTCCGTGCGGTAATCGAAGCCGTGACGTTACGCGCCAGCCAACCAGCGGCAGCGCACCAACTGTGCACTCAAAACCTACTACATACTTTACTTTTGGTCTTTTAATGAGGGCTGCCAATCTGTATGGAGCACTCCGCAATTGTAAAATTTCTGTTTGTTTGTTGCCTTGAAAACGCTCATCTCCAAAGTTCAAATTGAATAATTTATTCTTAATACCTACGTCCGTTTGTTGAGGAAGGTTATTAACTAAATACCTTACTAAGATTAATAGGCATAGTGCAGCGGCTGAAACCAAGTGGCAATTTCTAGTTTTATTATAATTTAACAATATTTATTGTTTAACAGAAGCATTATTACCAACACGAGTTTGATTGCTTGAGATAAAAAATATTGTTTTGTGTCAAAATATTTACAAGTGTCACGACTTGTACCTAACCCAGTTATGTAACGTTTGTTTTTATTTAATAAATTTATGCTTATCAGTGAAATATTTAATTGTTCAGTAATTGGTATCACTTCTTCACTTGTTTTATCTTTCACGTGTAGCAGTATTTTTTCCATTTATTTACAATTCATATAAGTAGGTATGTGTATACTTAAAACTCGTATTTAACTACCTATTTATATCAGACTGAAAATTTTGTAAACTTATAAGGTATAAAATCTTCGTATTTGCTGTATAGGTAATTAGGTACCTATCTAGTAGGTAATTATCTAATTAAAATACCAGTTATTAAGAAAAAACCAAGCAGTAGGTAATTTCAGGGCAAGTATTATTTTCTAGTAAGTATTTGGTTACTGAGATGGTTGTTGACACCCGTGAACTTTCGTGTTGGTCTGTGAACGTCGATATACTTACATCAAGATAATAATTATAAAAAATAATGTTTAACGGTCTTCGGGTTCAACCTTAGTACAAAAACTGACAAAGCCTCAAAAGTACAAAGTTACACAAAGTTTTTAAAGGTAAAAACACAAGTAAAAAATATGTCAGAGAGCCGGCGAGATGACTAAACAAATAATGTAAACATCAGAATGTTTATTCGAAATCTATGCCTTGTTAGTTTAAAAGCACACATTGCAGATACGCAGCCACGTTATGTAAGGAACTATTGATAACAAGCTGTTAATGACTTCTGTCTATGTACTAGGTACAAGGTACCTACTTGCATTTCTATATGCCTCTTTATTATTAGAACCAGGAAATAATGATAATGTACCCATTAAAATAATCGATAATATTGTTCTATTATCACTTATTCATTCCCTAGTTCAAGTGTCTGATAGCGAAATAGTGGGTACCTATGTTTGTAGGTATCGTTTCCAGAGTTGTACTCAGAATGATTGAGTAGGCTAGCAGAATGATAGGGATAATGTTTAAGTACCTAGGCACTTAAACGCCTTTCACAATAGTATTTATGTATCTACGTGCACATGTTATGATGACATATGTTACCTACATGTTCGTTTTAGTTAAGAAATCATAATAGAAATCCTACTTATATCATTTATGTGATTTTTTTCGTTTGTTGGTTCCTTATTTAAAAAAAAAAATTGAATCCAATAGTAACTACAATTTATTTAATTATTTCCAGGAACTTCTGATTTAGCGACCGTTGTCAAAGATGCTGTTTTCGTCCAAGAATGTGTTCCCGAAAGCCTCGAATTGAAAAAAAAGGTTTACTCAGACTTGGACAAAGTTGTCGATGACAAAACTATTCTGTCTAGTTCTACTAGTACCACTCTGCCATCGTTGTTCTCAGAGCAGATGAAACACAAGGCTCAGGTAAATAAATATGAGTAGCTATGTTACTCTTAGTACTGATTTTATTAATTAGTTATTTTTAGTCAGCAAGGTATCTTCACCCGCTGTTCGGCTCCATTTAATCGTAGCGTGATGTTTTATAGCCTATAGCATTCAGGAACATTGTAGCTATTTATCAGTAAAAGAATTTTGGAAATCCGACCAGCGGTTCCAAAGTGTACCCTCTACATACAAACTTTCAAATTTTACCTCTTTATAATATTAGTATAGATGAGAAATATAGATTGGTAGTTTTGAATCCAGTTAAACAACATAATTTATTTAGATAATTTAAAGTTTGTAGCGTTTATCTATAACCAAGCATTTTTAATTAGATAGGTACTAGGCATGACATGAATTCACCTTTAAAATTGATGTAATAAAATTTTATAGAACATACTCTATACTCCATACCTAATTATTTAGTTGGTGACATATAAGTACGAACAAAACCAATATTCAAGTATTCCGTTGAGGGAAAAACCTCTAGCCATTTGACCTACCACAGCTAAGAATATGTTAAACTTATTGGTTGTATTTTCCTTAGACATAATTTTTTCCATGAGTAACTGGTTTACTATGTTACAGTAGGTACATATATGTTTGATTAATAACAAAATGCTTACCCGTGTGCATGCAAATAAAGACATCCATGATAACTTGATAGCACTGCTAACAACTAGATAATTATAGATAGTGAATACACTTAATATAAAAACTCTTTGTTGTCAATGCATCAGTTTGCAACTTTAGTAGTTAATTTATCCGTAAGTATACTAACCTTTTTCCAGGTTATTGTATCACACCCAGTAAACCCACCATACTACGTGCCCCTTGTAGAAATTGTTCCCGCACCTTGGACCAGGAAGGATGTTTGTGAAAAAACTAGAGCGATTATGTTGGAAATTGGACAGGAGCCGGTTTCCCTGAGCCGCGAAATCGATGGATTTGTTCTCAACCGTATTCAGTTAGTATAATTATCTAATCTACCTATTTATTACTCTGATTGAATCTGGAGACGACCTGAAAGGCACAACATAGGGGGTGCTAATGATACGTACGTAGCCCCTTCATCGAGGGTTGGATAGCCATCACCATCATAATCGTCAGGCACATTCTTACTCTTCATATTCATATTAAGAAACCAAACTGCATTTCCCTAACTTGTTGGCCACATAGCAGAATTGTTATTATAACCAATCCTCTTAAGAGAAATGTATTCAATGAACAGTGGCTTCTTCCAGATATCGATATGAAGCTTTTGCAGTTATAGATAATATGGATGTTACTAAATGGATATAAATAATTAAATGTAAAAGAATTTTCTTTATGTTCCAGATACGCAATTCTGGACGAAGTTTGGCGTCTGGTTGATAACAAAATTGTAAATGTGGAAGACATCGACAAAGTCATCTCTGAAGGTCTCGGAATGAGATACGCTTTCCTTGGCTCCTTAGAAACTGCACACTTGAACGCAGAGGGCATGAAGTCCTATATTGAGAGGTTAGTATGAAACTACTCCTAAGTGAAACATTAATCAAACAGACACGAGTTCATTGTTCTAAATCCTCAAGGAATTCTCTCGACAGTCCTGCGGCTTTATCTGAGACCTACATTAAAACGTAGTAGGTACTTTATTATAAAATAATACTGAGTACCTACCTATCTGAATGAAATTACTACGGAAAACTTGTATTATTAGATACATGACAAAAATCACAATTTTAGGGAAATATTCAAATGTAATCAGTACTTATTGATCTACTTATACGTCTTTTACAGATACGGAGAAACAATTTACAATGTCAGCAAGACCATGGGAGATGTCCCACGAATGACCACTAGCAAGAGTGCGGACACAATTTGCGAGCAATTGAACAAGATGGTGCCTTTGGACAAGTTGCAGGAAAGGCGTGCATGGCGTGACGCTTGTCTGACGCGTCTGGCTCTGCTCAAAAAGGAAATGAACAACCAAAAAGTTAAATATTAGAAGTTAATTTATATCTTACACTATATCGTATTCTTATTGAAATAATAAATACGTGTACCTACGTATTAAACTCCTTGTTGTTTATTTTGTAGATATCAAATCATCTTAACAATATTATTGTAAAAATATACTTTTATTTAAATTCATGTTTTATTTTTATCTTTTCTTATTTTGATTATGTTTTATTTTATATTACCTAAATTGATGTTTTATGAGCGTCTAAAGCTTCACAGGTCTTTTCTGTGACGAGAAAATCATTAAATGACTTCTTCTCCTGCCCAGGGTAGGGCGTAGAGTGGGATTGTCAGACTCTTACTGACTAAGAACGCCCTCGTTCCTTCTCCTGCTCTAGGCCGAGGCCGCGGTGTCTTATCGCGTAACCCTGGCATCAGCCCTATAGGGCCCCAATTGTTTCATTCACTGGTTACTGTATAACAACTGATTAATATTTTTGTTATTATAATCTGACACAAAACAGCTTACTTTGTAACATACATTTTGAAGCTATCAAAGTTATAAAAGATCGTGATTTGTAACCCACCCATTGCGCTTAGATAATTATCGCAGCAAACAAATCTTGATTAGCTTGAGATTAGCTATTTAACTGGCTGTTTCCTTAAATGGTTTTTTCTCATTCAATTCGTTAGTTTGAGGTGATAGGATTGTTAATTTGTTTTTAAAGCTGAGTTGCTACTAGAACAGTAGCATAATGTTAGGTTACAACTGCGACCCGGACTACGGATATATCGTAGACATTAATATTTTTTACCAAAAAAACTGACTTCAAAAAGCGAACAGTAAATTTACTTCGTGCAAAGTTAAGTATAATAAATATTCATTTGGTTATATTGAAAATAATATTAAATAACTAAGTATTATTTAATTTTGAAGTCGGTGCCAAGTAAAACTACCCATAGCGGTTGTGAAAGAGATAGATATTATATAGGTTCATTGACTTTTGGAGTCGGTTCTTTTATTAAAAAATATCTATTTCACGATTTTAAGTGATAGGTACTTATCTACACCAAACAATGATGCTTTTCGAATAAGAAGAAGACGGAAAATCACACGATGAAAGAGCATTGCTATGCTGTCAATGGTCTCCATCATGAGAAATTCTGCATACCTTGGTTATAATCAATTTAGCACTAAAGTTCTCATTACATATAAATTTATTAAATCCACACACTAGGTAAGTGCTGTAAACCATTAAGGAGTTCCCTGCAGTATCCTTCGTCTGCATTATCAGACCCTTTATCTATCTGTAAAGTTCTGATCAAAATAAAAAGTTGAAGAATTCCCTCGACCGTCTGTTATCTTTATTATCAGATCAACCCTAGAACGTCATAGAATGTTAGCAAACGTGCCAGTTGATCCTACAATTTTTGAAGGTTCCCCTCGATTTCTCGGGTCTGCCATCTTCAGACACTGGTTTCCTTATTTGGTGAACCTTGGAACTATCTACTTTCCAATAAAAAAAACAATCAACAAATCGGTTTATAAACGACAAAGCTTTCCGTGGACAAACATAATAAAAGCATATAAGTACATCCGGTTAAATTGAGAAAACTACCTACTCTTTTTTGAAATCGGTTAATAACAGTAACACAGATTACTACGAACAAGTAAGAGAGTTAATAACTTCGATACTAATGTTATCTATCTAATGTTATATAATGTGGCTTATTTACCTAGCTGGCTGTGATAGATGTATATATCTAGATAGTAGATATGGTATCATATAGGAACTTAATGGTAACAACTGAATGGTTAAAACTTTAAATTTATTTTTTACAAAAAAAAAAATGTATAATATTTACACATCACAGATAACTAAACTAATTTACTATACATAGTCAGAGAGACAAATCCATCACTGTATAGTATTTACGCGGCATTTTGAGGCAGGGCGATTCAAGAGTATTATAATTCCTAAAGACAGGACTATCCTTAGGTTAGAAGGTTAAGGTTAGCCCATTTTAAAAATACCGCGCACGGAAAAGCAATAAATAATCTCCGGATGTGCATTTCAGGCAGGCAGTTGCCATTACTAAAAATGTTTACTGTATCTCTTAATTTTTCTACCAACTGGTTCTAGACTATTATTTTACCTTTGCTTTGAGTAATTCGTTTAGTTCCACTGACAGATTTCTCTTTTTTAACCGATTTAATTATATTTTAAACTTTTTGTTATAACAAAAAGAATATTAGTTTTATTCTATAGTATGTGTATAAACATAAACATTTAGTCGATTAACGAAATGTTGGCAACACCTTTTTTCGAACATCAAATTCCATAAACAATTTGAATAAAAAAGTGTTATCTGTGGTTCTTGTCTAATGGAGCATTTGCGCGATCGTTCATAATTTTATTTACCATCAATATTGTAACACATACAAATAAAAAGAATATAATTTTTATATAGTTATTTGTCCACATCAATGGTGAAATTTTTTGAAATATGTGTAATTTAAATAAATAAATTTATTTTGATATAGCCTTTATGATCTCATGACAAAAGGCCTTGCAGTACACATAGATTTACAAATGTGTTGTTTTGATAGATAATGGATCCAAGAATGTGTAGAAAAATCAGCAGTAGTGAAAGTCTTCCAGATGCGGACAATTTGGAATATGAGGTATCAACCATCATTGCGCCGCAAGAGAGCGACGATAATTTCATGCTGGACGGTAGTCCCGAGCCTCATTCCGTGACATGGCTAGACAACGATCAAATAGATGAATTAGATCTTAATTTAGACCAAACTAATCTCTGTTTTCATAGAGTCGATAGCGCAGATATTATATATAGAAATAAGAAGAAAAAATGTAAAATGGTAGGAAAATATGTGATGGGAGATGTGCTGGGAGAAGGCTCGTATGGTAAAGTTAAAGAGATGTTGGACTCGGAGACGCTCTGCAGACGAGCTGTAAAAATACTGAAAAAGAGAAAATTGAGAAGAATACCAAATGGTGAACAGAATGTACAGAGAGAAATACAACTGCTGCGGATCCTTAGACACAAAAATGTGATAGAACTAGTCGATGTAATGTATAATGATGAGAAACAGAAGATGTACCTTGTGATGGAGTTCTGTGTGGGTGTGCTGCAGGTTTGTAGACCATTAAATTAAGTACTATAGCTATTAAACTCACTAAACTTATTATTATTTAGGGCTGAAGGAATATTCATTATGACATTCTAGTTTGTCCTCATAACAACCCAACAATAACATCAGATAATTTGAAAACCTAATTGGTTGCACACAATTGGGTACAGGGTTAATGATATGTTAAGGACATGATATTGTAGATAGAAGTGCATTCATACAACATTGTTGTATTGCACTATTTATGTAAATTTATTTGACAGTTATCTCAACCAGACTAGGTAGTTTAGCAAGATTATGTATGTGACCTTCCAAGGTCTGTTGCATTCACATTGATTCACACATGCTTGTTTACAGTAGCTTATTAAGATGGGAACTGCAGGAAATAATAAATTTTGTTTATGTTAGTAACTATTAATGAAAACATACTATACAAATAAATTATGATACAACAGCTGTGTTTAGCCAAGAATTGGTTGGAAGCTTGCAATTAATTATGTTTTATATTTTGTTTAGGATATGTTGGAAGGAAGCCCTGGCAAGAAATTTCCTCAGCGGCAAGCTCATGATTACTTTACTCAACTTTTGGACGGTTTGGAGTACTTGCATGGCCAGGGTGTAGTCCACAAAGATATCAAGCCAGGAAATTTATTACTGACTCTTGATCAGACATTGAAGATAACAGATTTTGGTGTTGCTGAGGTAATTTTTAATAATTTTATAAAAAAAATTGTGGTGAATAAAATAGAGCATCATGTTGAACTTCATTTTTCATTGGCTGTATTGTTTCAATGCCATTGTCATGTTTTATCTACTTTACATAATGTAACACTGTTGGTCTGCCATTTATGGTTTGAAAGTAATTTTAAATATTTTTTTTGATTCAATGAACATAACACACTGCTGCACTGGTTAAAAGTTACACAATATATTTTCCTCTGCTTATACCCCCATTCACAAATATAGTGATATATTGGATATATAAACTTTTCACAGAATTACAAAACCTAACAAAGTTCTTGTCTTAAACACATAATAGTATAATATATTACCTTCATTGGTCTAAATATCAGTAATTTACATGGAATGTCTCTTATCACTCAGTGATACAGCATTCTTGCATAGTTTCATCATTTATGCTTCACATTAGTTGTAACTTTGTACACAGATGTTTGTACTAAAATTGTTACAGACAACTTTTACATTCCTGGTACAGAAATTGGAGTCATAGACTTTGGAGTCATATGTTAATATGGAGGATGCATAGCATCATGCCAGTGTGTTGTTATAAAATTATCCACTATAATACAGGCCTTACAATGTAGATTGTGGAAATAATGTTACACTACATACATTAGTTTTTGTCTTTGCATCACCCAAAGGTTTAACTGGCAGAGAATGCCCATGGCATTAAGTCCATCTTATGTACTGTACGTATTTTATACATGAAGCATATTAAAAATTTCCACCATTTAATCCTTCCTGAAATAAAATATGTGATGTTAATAATATTGTGTCATTCCAGGCTTTAGACATGTTTTCTCCTGAAGACACATGTTACACCGGGCAGGGTTCCCCAGCCTTCCAGCCGCCTGAAATAGCAAATGGTGCTGAACAGTTTTCTGGTGTCAAAGTAGATATCTGGAGCAGTGGAGTTACATTGTAAGTGATTGAAAATAGAACATTACCTACTAACACTGACCTTTTGTGATAGCATTGTTTGCTTTACAAAGGGTGTCTTTATTTGTGTAAATATAATGTACATGGTGTTTTCGTGTCATCTGATTTAGTTTGTTCATTTCTTGAGGTTTTTAACATATTGTGTTACATTAGAATGGAATGTTTATAGCAAAAATGTAATGCTAGACATGTTTTGACTAGGGAAAGTGTAACAAGTACAAAGTCATTTGATTCTCTGTCATAGTTCAATTACACAATTATTGCACATTATTGTGTTTGTAAACAGTGATTCACAATTAATTAAAAACTATTAATCATCAATCCAGTATGAATATACTTAGGTGACTTGTTTGTCACTTTGCATACATTGTAAAATTTACATAAATATACATATTCTGAAGAAATGTGTAATTTGATTTCCATGCAGTTCATTTTTGTGACTATAATGCTTTGGTTTACACGAAATAATCTAGATTTAAGTACCTGTTTTATCGAATTGAATTGGTTTATTGCTTATTGACGGATTGAATATATTAATATAATTTACAGAATAATTTTTGAAAAGAGCTGAAATTGGCGAACTTGTTATTTACTTATGTATCGTATATGTCGAAATCAGATTTTTTACGATTTTCACCCTTACGTTTATGTAACGAAAGCTAGGAATTTTATCAAGTATGTATAGTTTTCATTTCGACTGGTAATGAAAAATCTTATTTATTCGTAAAACTGTCCACAGATATAATATGACAACAGGCCGGTACCCGTTTGAAGGCGACAATGTGTACCGGTTGCTGGAATCCATCGGTCGAGGCGAGCCGGCTCCACCTCCGCCTTCATTAGGACCTACGCTCGGAGCCCTACTTACCAACATGTTGAAAAGAGATCCAGACCTTAGGCCGACTGTGCACGAAATTAAAAGGCACTCGTAAGTACTTTCTTATTAATTTGCTTCTTCTATAATTTTAAGAAGTAATCTAAGAGCAGGAGAAAGATTGGGGTGATTTTTAGTTAGTAAAAATCTGACACTGAAGAAGTGTGGGAGAGTAATGTTTGGGCACGAAGTGGTCGGCTCGACCGGAGCGATACCCCCATTCACAACACACAGCGTGAAACAACCATAGGTTTGTCTTTCGCAGTGTGAGTGAGGATACCGGAGGCCCAATTATTCCCCTTCCCTAATCCCTTCCCAATTAAAAAGAAATCTCCAAATGCCTTTAACTCCAAAAGGTCGGTAACTCGCTCTTTACTCCTCCGTTGTTGCGGTTGTCAATGGGCGTCGCTGATTGCTTACCATTAGGTAAATAAGTGGTTTGCTCGTTTGCCGGCCCATCACATAAAAAATACTATCTCGCCTCACCTTAGGCTAGAGAAAACATTTGTTGATTTTCCCCGTCAAAATAAAATCTGTCTGCTATTTCAGAGTAGTCTACCTCTATGTCAAACATTAAAGTCTGTTCAGCCTACGTTTTGTGTGGCATAGTATTAAACATTTATATTGTATACGCAAACTTTTGCAATATTCGCGTTATATTAGCCTTGTACTTAGTGTTTTTACATTGTTAATCCAGTTACTAATCAGTGCCAGTTAGTAGTGCTAATTTGTCTGTGTGACAATATTTTCAAGGTAAACCGTAAACACGTCAATTTTAATCGATCTCTTTACTAAAAAAGGTTTAAATATTATAGAAAAGACAATCTTTACATTTTGTGCAGAATCATTGGTTAAATGTCTAAAATTTTTGGTGAAAAGAAAGAAAATAAATGTGGGAGAGCCATGCTTCGGCAAGAATGGGTCGGCTCGACCGGAGTGATACCACGGCCTCACAGAAAACCGGCGTGAAATAACCAAAGAGTTGTGTTTCGCCGTGTGAGTGAGGCTACCGGAGGCCCAATCCTTCCCCTACCCCATTCCGTTCTCTTTCCCAAAATCTCCAAAACACTAATCCACAAAAGGTCGACAACGCACTCGTAACTCCTCCGTCGTTGCGGGTGTCCATGGGCGACGCTGATTGCTTACCTGATGGTAAGTAATCAGCGTCGCCCAAAATAGATCGTTTGCCGACCTATCACATGAAATAAAAAAAATAAAGTGTTGATTAATTTTACGTTACGTTTAGTGGTCCTGTTTTCCTAGTATTTTTTTAGAAACCTATATACTATTTGATGCTCAAAACATAGCGCCACAACATACAAACGGGGTTTTAGGTACAATACGTGTTGAAATACGGGTAAAGTGTAGATTTTTTATAATTTGAATAGATTTAAAGAACAAATCTATTGTAATGAAATAAAGTGAATAATTTACATTTGTATAACAATAAAAAGTATCGGAAGTCTGATGCTATTGATATTTTTTTTTAATCTGTAAACCTATTATATTACAATGTTGCATGTAAGAAGGCAGGGTTATGCTAAGGTGAACATTTTAATGGATCCTATCGACTTTTTTATGCATAAAGACCCACTCCGTTGTTCAACTTCGCACTTAGTTTAAAGAAAATGTTAATATCAAGGATAATGTGCGAAACTGTAAATAATGCTAATTTTAAACATACTTGTGGGTACTTGCCTTTATAATGGTAAGGCAAAGAACTTTGTACCCACTTTAAACATTGTTTTCTCGACATTTTGCATTTTTAAAGTAAAATAATAACTTTTGCGTCTTTTAAATTACTTATTATTTAGTCAGTTGAATCATCGAATGTCTCAACCATGTACAGGTATAGGTAGCAAATTATACATATACCTTATATTTTTCCTGTGGCATTTTTACTAGGTGTGAATGAATATCCAGCCAGTGTGCAGTTTTGCAGGTAAATGGCATTGTATTGTTACAACTAACAAAGGAAAGAATTAAGTACTTTGTTTATTCAATAATATAATAAATTGCTGATAGCCCTGTTATCATCTGTATGTTTATTTATAACAAACGCAAGTACTCGCTCTCTGAAGTACAGTTTATGAAGGGCAGGTAGAGGGGCGTAGCTGCACATATCCATTTTTTAGTTGCAATTCATGTATCGATAACGAAGTTCTCGAAGAAAAACTAATCGATATTTAATTGATGATTTATGAGATGCAATCGACAGCATTATTTTCGTAACTCTATTTAGAGTTATCGCGGTTAACAATCAATTACATAATTTATATGTAATTATAATATCACTTAAAACGTTAAGATAAGACACGTTTGCCTTGTCGGCCGAGTAGTTTGTAGATTTTGTTGGCACGATTGTGGACATCTAAGCTTCCGATTTATATTGTCGCACGCCACCTGCTGTGTTTTGAGTACCTAGAATACATTTACCATAACCATTTATGTGTGGGCAGTAGCGTTCTGTTAAAAATGATCCTTTTAAACTGCCGTCCGTCAAATTCAATCCATATTGAGAGACTATAGATAAGCTTTCCTTTGTAGAGCCACCTCCATTGAGGTGTTAAGGATAATGATAACGATAACTGCCTTCAGCAACGTACTGGTAATAAAAAAACAGCTGTGCATAGTCTAAGGTTCCTGGGGAGGTTACAGGTGGTTACCTGGGGAGGTGACAGCAAAGCTTGACAACAGTGAAAAAATTTCATATAGCCTAGGCAGTTTCGAAGCCTTTTTAATGTAAAAATGTTTTTTGTGAGGTGAAAATCATCAAATGGCTTCTCCTGCCCAGGGTCGGGCGGGAGGGCGTGTGAGACTCTTACTGACTAAAAGCGCCCCACCAACCATTTCTTCTGTTATGGACGAGGCCGCAATGCCTCATTGCGCTTACCCCGCAAACCCAGCTGAACATCAGCACTGTAGGGCCCTGTCTGTGGTTGTCTATTGGCTCTTTGAGGTGCGCTGGGACAGCTACGCACCGTACGTTCGGGTCTGTTTCCGATCCACGCTTATGGTGGCCGGAGATCGGCTCTCTATTCCCGGCGCCCGGAGTGTCGCCTACTGCGACGGCTGGGGCGTGAGGAGGAGGATAGTTCTCTCACGCGGTCCGCCTCCTTCTTTGCGAGCATAATTGCTTCATAGAAGCAGGAGACGGCTTCCCAGTTCCTCTCCCTCTACACCATCGCCATGACTAAGGCCGGGCGCGAGAGGTCGCTGCTGCCGATCACTTCCCCGAGAACACGGTGGAGCTCAGCCGCCACCTTGTGCACAACGCCATAGTACCTATGCTCTACCGTGTAACATTTAAATCTTACCTCTTTATAATATAACGATAAATAGACTGTTGTCCTATTTCTTGGCAACACTTACAATAATTTCTTGGACTAGTCATAATTATTAAGTTATAATATTTGTTGTTGCAGTTGGGTGCAAGCTCGTCCTCCCCTGGAGGCAGGCGAGCGGATGGTGACTCCTAGATCTCGTCGGTCAGACGAGCTTCACACTTCCACTGTCATCCCGTACCTCGTTGAACGTCACTACCCTTCGGCGCAGGAATACTTCACTGAGCGGGACTACAGACACGGTCAGTCCGACACTGATGACGATTTTTACGATACCATTATTCTCAACGGGTAGAGTAAAATATTTCCTTTTATTATAATTTATATTATATTTTTTGCCATTATCATCAGCTTTAGCTGTTGCTAAGCAAAGTAACAATACATCTTTGGGATTTGAAGGTCGATACAATCTGATAAGCGAGTTCTAAACTTGTCTTTAAATCGTTGTACAATCCTACTGGCTTAAACATAAACGCCAGTTAGTTGATTTGTACTTTGAATGTTATTTTTACAACATGCGTGTTAAGATGACTTTAGTTTTAGGTGTTATTTATTTATCGCTTCCTATGTCGTGTGATAATTGTCTCTATCGACAGGAACATGACAAAATGGCGATTACATATAAATAGAGTCCCTACAATTTTCAGAGCCTGAAGAAGTGCGCATAGCCGGTCACGTGCGCGCTCGTGTTTGTTCCTTGAGTTAGGTTCGTTGCATGCGAGTGACGGAGCCCCTTGCTTTGAGGCTTTTCTCCTACCAATATCATTTTATGAATAGCCAATTAGTGCAATATGCCTTAATACAATAATCTAGGTTTATTTACAGATACTAATTTACGCCCCAAAATATTATTCAAGATGCGATTTATCAATAATAATCGACGAGTATTATGAATGCAGTAAATTACTTTCTGTATACCTACTGCATTTTTGCGTGTACCTAGTGTTTCACTAATAAATTTAAATAGCTTCATATGAGAATGAAAATTATAGTATTATGTGGTTAAATATGTACTTTATAAGACTGTCTGATTTGACGTTGGTTGCTAGTTGGCTCAGCTCATAAATATAACGCTTGTTAACACGGAACTTAACAAGAATGGTAAACAATAGAGGTTGTTGCTTGATATAAACGTTTTGGCTTTGAGGAGAACCCAATTTTCAAAAAAATAATATTCTAGTAGAACACTCGTCTTAATTTTTGATTTAATTAAAGAACTAGTTTCATATCTGTTCTTAACTCTTCTTTATGCCTTAATGATATTAATATTCTCGATGAAGCTCTTGTTGCTCGGGATTTGATGAAGTGCTTGATCATGTTTTATATTTCCACTGGAATTAAGGAATCCATTAATTATAAAGTTTTTGACCTTTTATCAGTCTGTAGTAAAGTGGGGAAGTGATTTTCCTGTGTTTCAAACTTACTTGTAGCAATAGAGTGCAGGGTGTGAGTGGTGTATGCGTGTTGCAGAGCTGGGTGACGGCGGGTCGCGTACGCTGTCGACGGCGGAGCTGTCGGACGCGGAGTCCCGCGGGCGCAAGCGGCGCTGGCACTCGTCGTGCGGCCGCCTGCCGTCGTGCCGGCTGACGTGATGCTGCGCCTGCGGGCCGCGCAGCCTGACGCCGTGCCGACTCACCTGACGCGGCGTCAGCACTGACGTCGCAACGCCTCACTTCGCGGCGTCACATCCTCACTAACATCGAATGCGTTCATTACTCCTATACATGTTCCAAGTTATTCCCGGTTACTTGTTTCTCCACTTAGTCGTTAATGTTAACACAAATTTTACCTCCACCGTTGATGTCGGATAGTTACGCCTGAGACTTGTTTCTCACCCGTTTTGTTGCTAAATTAATAGTAGTTAGAATTTGGTTACATTTGTTGTATCATTTGCTCTGAACAAAATCTTACGGCTGCGGTATACTTAATATTACTATTTATTTGTTGGTGTATGGCTGTTACATGTAGGTTTCTCTGTAATCCTCTAAATATTACTGTGTTCAACACCTCCATTAGAAATATGTGATTAAATGTATGCATTGAGAGACCAATAAATTATAGTAAATTTTCTGATATGACATTCAGTCACATATTTCTGTTAAAACCAATATTACCATAGGCATTGTATGCATATTCAATTAGATATCAAGGCGTTCATACAATGACAAAACAAAATATCATAAATGTAAAATAGTACCTGTTTTATTTGTGTATCAAGATGTATGGTGTAAAGTGAACATGTATTTAGTGTAATTAGTAGATCTCAAATTTTATCGTGGCAATAAAAAGATAAATATTTTTATAAAAAATATCGCTATAAAACCAAATTAAAAATAGTGTTCTTGCCAAGAGGGAAGCACCGATTATATTTTATCAATTATATGTTACTTGATGTTCATTTTTAGTATCGATCATCGGTAATGTTGATGTCACCTGGATCGAAGCCCACGGTTCCTCACTTATTGGAATGTTGTACAAACATTTCTGATTGTGAGTAGTTACTCTTAGCATGGCTATGTCGATTGGATGGTTCAGGTATGATCGATTTTCTTATTTTAGTTGTTAGATGTAAAGTACAAGTTATAATGGCAATTACATTAAATTGTCTGTGTAATGTCGTTAAATGTCATCAATTGGAATTTATAAAGATGTTAAAGGTATCGGTGGACAGGGTGAATAGAATTTGAGGGAGTGAATAGACAAAAAGAGGAGTGAACGATACTAGAAAAAATTCACATCCCTCGAATTATATTAATTCTGTTTACGATATGCGAACAAATTATTGCATGTTTTTGGATATTCTAAAAGGACACAGCTTGTTCACACTTCAGCATTCTGTGTACCTACATATTTCCTAATAATCTCTTATCCATCTCAACACCTCCGCCGGACCTCACTTTTTAACTTATTTATACTGAAATATAAAATTACGTTAGTATTTAGATGTAATTAGGTAATCTACGCATGATTTGTGTATTATCTATTATTTTGGATTGTTGTTGCTACATAATCTGTATTTGTGGGCTGGCTTAATTAAAAACAAATATTGTCAGACCTAGCAATACGTTTCTTCTCTTCTGCGCTAAATTGTTTGTTCATAATGTTATTAAGTTGTGCAATAACTGTTATAACTTGATGAAATGCTGTTCTAGTAAGTAGTTTAGGTTAAAAAGCTTACTTAAGCCATATTGTAATGAGATTATTGCGCAGGTGATCTCTCCACGCCAAAGGCGGTTTTGCTAAAAGTATTTAATTTAGTTGTAATAGTTTGTGGCCACTTATGTTGCACTTGTATTCGAAAAGTGAGGTCTTACATATAACTGTTATAAAACGTGTGTTTACGCTTAAATAAAATGAAACGATGTATGTTTAGTGCCTGAAATGAAAAATAACGTAAAAAACTGAAAAAAATTAAAGAGAATATTAATATATTGTAAATAATAAAAGTCAAAGTAATGTGCATCAAGTTTTTTATTTGTATACTGCATATAGTACCTTCACTAACCACGAACCTGTATATGCGGTATGTAATTACGGCGAGTGTGGGTGTTTTAAATTATATTTTGTTCACATGATCTTACAGATTAGTTATTTATTTTCTTGAAGCCAAATTACCTTTGAAATAACTAGGTACCTAATTATATTCATCCATTCGCGTTAGATGATATTAGATAATTAACCTTTTTTGCTGGGTTGGCCGTGTGAAAATATTACATGAATGTATTCTGGATACATGCACACTGCACATCGATCAAATTATAAAATAGAATTTCAACACAAGTCTATGATCGCGAACTGTGAACATCAATTGCGAAGACCGTTTTATTTTTGTGAAGAAAACGGCAGATAAATACTCTTTACAAAATTGACTATGAATAGTGATTCCGAATAGATTTGGCACTATTTGTTAGATAATATTGTGGATTTAAATAATAAAGGGTGCCGAAAGTTTTACTGACGGACTACCTGATTGTCTTAAATCAGCGTCGCCCATGGACGCCTGCAACACCAAAGGAGTTGCAAATGAGTTGCGTTGTCGGTCTTTTAGGGATATTTAAGGATTGGGAAGGGGTGGGGAGAGGAAGGGATTGGGCCCCCGGAAACTCACACCGCGAAACATCGCTGTGGTTGTTTTACGCCGGTTTTTTGTGAGGCCGTGGTATCACTCGCAAAGCATGGCTCTCCCACACATTTTGAGTTATTTTATGGCTTGTTTCTTTATTTAAGAAAAATTGGCGGGGCGAAAATGTTGTCTGTTTTTATCGATATAATTTCGGACTAATAAGTAACCCACTAGGTACAATTGGTGCTGAGGACACGTCCTTCTGAAGATTGTGTGCCGCCCAAATCGAATAAGGAAGTCAAAACATTATTTCCCATTAGTAGTTAGACGTACTTAGGCACATATTTCTTGAGGTACCTACAAAGCAACTTACGTGCCATATAATATAAACGAGGATCGTCTAAGCAATTACCGTTCCAAGACCTGTTCACTTATTGGGTGCGTCGCACACATGGTGTGAAGTGCTATGTCGTAAGCGTAGGGCGCATGCGCCTGCGCTCGCGACCCGATTCGCAGCCACAATGCGCGGAAGTGACCGGTGCGTTCGTTACCGCAATGGCCGCCTTGCCTTCCGCTATATCAGGTCCTTAGATAATTAGGTCACTGGGCTATCTTAGGTACCTTGGGCAGATACATTCATGGCTAAATGTTAGTAGAACTGTTTTATTCTTAGATAGAACCATAAATGATTTTTAAACCATTTGAATTTTTTTTTCTAAAAAACTTTGCCCCACTCTATTGTTTTCTCCTGTGTCGAGGGTGCGTTTACAACCATACAATTTATCATTTTATTTATTATTATAATTGTTGATCACACAAAGAGTTGTTCCGTGCGGGAATCGAAACTGCGACACGTTGCGCTGCAGCCCGGTTGACTGACTGCACCGACCGTGTAGTCTAGGTAAAACCACCTAGCAATAATACAATCGGACTGGATAAGTATAGACTTAACTACTTTATGGACAGGACCTGAAAGTGGCCACCAGGGGCTTGTTTCAATTATATAGGTAAGTTTAATATATTTATTAGCTGTTATGTTGAACGGATATCTATTCACGTAACTGTTTGATGAGGAAACAGACTTGTAGCTTGAAGACACGCTAGGGACTCACTATTCATGAGCAATACCTGCGCGACAAACGACGCTCGTTATCGCACCTATAATATAACAGAAAGATAACATATATAAGTTATTATATGAACCAATACTTACCTACCATATATCAAGGATCTTAAACATTTATGCAGGTAACACAATTGACTAGATTTAGTTTATTTAGGCTTAGCTTCAAACGTAAGATTACCTAACAGATGTTTCTGCAATGTCTTTAAACTTGTTTAGGAATGCTAATCATCGTTTAATACGGTTTCATTCGTACAGTTTAATGGGATTTCTAGAAGAGATTTCCAGTAATAGGTACTTAGCTAAATAAACTGCATCAGGCATGTTTTATATTGCCGTAGATACGTTATCTTAGATCGCCTAGAAACCTATATATTATTAAAAAAAAAAATCTGTAAATCTGTGTAGCTAAAAAGGTTTAAATACCAATTTAGAAACATCCTACCATCTGGGATTTCCTAGGAGTAGGTACCTATATGACTTCTAAAAATTCGATAACTGTTATATCACATAGGTACCTATGGTATCATACAGAAAGTTAATTTAAGAAACTTTCTTAAATTACCTTTAAATATTTTTTTTATACAGTCAGCCGTATTTAATTGGCAAGGCAATATGGTAGCTAACCTGGAGGACCCCGTAGGTACGTAGGTACCTACGGCGTCCCGCCAGCGAGCCGCTTATTTAACCAAATTGACAGTGTACGGAACCGTACATTATTTTAACTACTCACGCCCGTGCGTTCTGCACACTCAGGTTTTGTGTATATTGCAAACAATGCAAAATGTAATTTGTGTCTTTTATAACGAATTATAAATCAATGTTAATCTAGCATTCAAATCGGGTGGTATTATTTCTATATCCTTATAGGATTAACCCCTCATCATATCGTATCATCAAAGGTGTAGGAATCTTCTACATTTTTTTTGGTCCTTCGAGCCGGATCGTGGCGGGACCTTCGCGGTTACTTTGACCTCGCGCGCGCATTCGTGTCTCGTGTACGTCAACGTGACGTGGACTTAAGTTCCGTGCGATCACCAGTGTAATCTACACACATCATCGACTTGAGCATCGCTAGCTTAAGCCATCTCGGTCGTGTTCATTGAATCGCGATACTTCATCATCTTCATCTCATCTGTGGCGCGAGAGGTCGCGCACGCTGTCAGCTTCGTTGGAATCACCAGCAGGGGCGTAGGACGTCACTACTGTAACGTCGCATCTGGATCATCATTTATCAAGTAAGACTGTTCCTTTATTTTTCAACATGGAATCTCGTATAGCCCGTCAATCTGAAATCATCTCCAGTATCACTACCATAAAGGTCAACTTTAATAAGGACTCTGATTCCCGCAAAAATGCCGAATACATCAAAAAACGGTTAGGCGCGCTAGACGCTCTCTGGGAAGAGTTCGAACAAAATCATTCTAGAATTTCCGATCATGCCAGTGAGGCAGATGAATATTTCCGTCTAAATACCTATCAGGTAGGCAAAGACCTTTATCAGTCTGTCCGCATCCTCTTATCATCTTACGGAAAATCATCAAAATCAACTCAACCAGATGGGGAGGTTGATGAATTGTTAGCAATGCAGCGGACTAATTTCAGGGCACTTAGTCGACTTATTAAGAGCATCAAGGTTGAAAATATATCGGATAAATGGGAACTCGAAGACGAGCTAAACGGCGTTCAGTCTATTTGGAAAATTATCGACGCTCAGCATTTGAAAATCGATCATATACTTGCGGGTGGAGATATATCGTATGACGAGGAATTCACTCGTCATGAGTTAGCTTACAAAAATATCAAACGTGAGCTAAATAGGAAAATCTCCTCTACGACTCATTTAGAAAAGGTCACTCCGAAACTTGAGATACCTACGTTCAGCGGAAATTATAGTCAATGGCCAACCTTTTATGATTTGTTTAGCGAGACAATTCATAACAATAATTCCATCACCAAGGCCCAAAAGATGCAACATCTTAAGGGTAAGCTCAAGGGCGAAGCTGAACGACTCATCTATCATTTAAATGTCTCATCGGAAAACTACGATACCGCATGGGAGATTTTAGTCCATCGATACAACAACGAGCAAGCTCTTTTCACTCATCAAATCGAAATATTTCTCAATCAGCCCAACATTCAAAAACAATCATCATCCGAAATCAAAAGGTTATATGACACTACTACGGAGTGCATTCATGCTATTCACAATCTTGGCGTCAATACTAATGCGTGGGATCCTTTATTGGTGCACCTTCTATGTAAAAAACTGGATACGGATACCCAGACTGATTACAGAGAAGCACGCGTCGAACCGCGAAAATTACCTAAGTTAGACGAGTTAATGACATTCCTTGAAGGTAAATTTACTGCGTTGGAACAGATAACCAAATATGATAAGGAACCCGCTACATCTATCAAACGAACCCCAAATCCAAAAGTGCAAAATAATTATTACAAATATAATAATTATAAAGGCTTTAATCATCGAAATTATCAAGCTCAAGCTATTCATATCTCGAAATGCGCAGTTTGCAACCTAAATCATAAT